TAAGAATGCTGTTAGCAGAAGAATAGATGATATAAAATAAAAGTTTTATACTATTTACAAATCTTCAGGATTCCTTCTGCGCCGGTTGTTTATAATTCAAACTTGCCTGAATACATTGTCACATCACCATCCGACCCAAAAATTGTCGTTTATCAACTCGCTTTTTTACAGAGCCTTAAAACTATCTCAACTATCACTGAACTAAGTCACTGAACCCAGAATTAAAAAAGCTTTCAACAGTTTTATTGACCCCACAAATGTGAAGCAACTGATACCGGATTTGCTTATTGTCAATCATCTGAATATTCCATCGGCTGATTTCAAAGAAAGATCTAACTACATTGGAAGCTAATGTAAAATCTCTGTGGAGTATGCACAAAGCGCAAGGATCCCGCTGAAATTCATTTGCAATTTAAAGTTCATTTTTTTCATTAGTAAACGCGATGCCACTCAGTAAGAATGCTGTTAGCAGAAGAATAGATGAAATAAAATAAAAGTCTTATACTACTTACAAATCTATTTTACATCATGGTGGTTGTATATGAACAGCATAATTGGATTGGAAGCATACCGTAAATCAAGTTATGAAACTGGCAACGTAGTGTTCTATCCGGCAATACTGGTGGCGTTGGGATTGGAAGGGCGAAGGAGGGACATGCGATCCTCCTTTAATAAACGTTTGAACTCGCCCAAGTTTAATTATGTGTTTTAAAGACGAGTGATATCAATTTCGAGCAACATTGTACTATCTGATTTTGCTTCAGAATTGGAAAGAAGAGAGCAAAATGCTTTCGTGTTCAAAAGCCGATGAAAATGTCCAGAAAAATAAGGAACTCTCGTGCATTCAGCTCCAGAAAATCCAGGATCTCTCGTGCATTCAGCTCATCAGTTGTCGGTCAGAATTACCTGGCAAGAATGGGATTAGACTTGCTTCATCGTTCATTGCGTTTTCACCAATGAATGAGAGATAAGAAACATCTGGGGCTCCAGAAAAACTTTCCGTAAGATCAAAAGGACAGCGGAAGGGAAAAGTGCCTTGACTTTTTAGATTTGATTGGAAATTACTGAAAAAGCAATGATTTATTTTTTTCGATATCAACAAAGAGTTTCTACCTCAAGGCGAAACAGTCAATCAATAATTTAACAAGGAGGTTCCTGTGAGGCTAGATATCATGAACAAAACAACAAAAAAATCAGTCTCATTACTTAACTTACACACCACATATATTTCAAAGAAATTTAGATCACATAAATATTCCTCAATTTCGGAGTCATTTTACTTTCACCAAAACTGGTACAAGTGTGCCTTCTATGCAGCAATAAAATAGCTAACACACAAACCTCGACACAAATGAGAAAAAAAGACAAAGAACTCCCTACTTATCGATAAAAAAAAACAGAATAAAAAAGAATAAAACATAAAGCAACACCTCACTGATCATTTTTGGCAAAGGATCTTAGGAGTCCGATTAATTATCGAAAAGTATTTTGTATTCTTTTTCGCAAAGATAACAAAGATTTACGGTTATGCCGAAAACAAAGAGATTGCGCTTCGGACGATTCAGTTGAGTTCACTTTCCATTGGGACAATAAAACGTTAAATAAAACAGGAAAGCCCTTTACTGCTCCTCTGCTTTGTGCCGCGTTGACGACTGTCTTTGTAACATTGAGTGCAAGAAGTTTGCTCTCTTTTAACTGATTTCGTTTAAACGATTTACGGTTACGTATCTGGAAAACTACCGTTTCGTACGAAATACCCGTTTAATTAGTTGTGAATGAAGGATTATTAATTTGCTCGCCGACCCTTCTGTGGTTTATCTCAACGCTTTTATTATATAAGTGGGACGTCAGCGACCGTCGATTCGAGAAATCTATTTGGATCAGTCGAACGATAATTCACAAGCAAATGGGGCCGAGTATAAGGATCGCGTCGCTTTCGGCGAATTTCGGTCATAATTGCATCCACCATTACGGCTCCGATATGCGACCTGTATAAAGGGCACTTTGGAATGCAAATTCCCTAGTGCAAATTGATAATGTGAAAATCTGAAGGAAAATTCTTACTGAAAAAAATAAAATCAAACAGGATGTTAATAATAATAGAAAAAAGGTAAATAGCTTTCCTGAAAGCCGATAACGGTTCTAGTTGTTCCACAACAAAATCCACGTCTTTAAACAGGATATTTCTAATCTCATTGTGAAGAAGACATTCAAACAGTACTGTATAAATCAACGATAGGGTTAAGTTCATTACCTCATTGGTTTTAAAAGTTATGATATTTTTTTTGTAATAATAATACATATTTAAACTTAATGGTTTTTGAAATATTTTATTTTTTATAAAAAAAATACTGGTTTGCGCACTTGCAAAAAATTACGATAGCGAATGAAAAATCTCCATTTTCTTAAAGGACACACCATATGTTATATTATTATTTTTCGTCAAAAGATCTAAAAAAATACAACTTTTGTTATGTATGTAATGTAATGTATGTAATACTGTAATTTTATTTGTAATACTATCTTACAGATCTTACAAAAACTTCTAATAAGTATATCATAGATCTGTTTTTAATACTTTCCGATTCATTTTAACTTTCCCAAAATTTACCCTTCTTTCTGTCTGGCCATGACAAAATGACATTGCCAAATTTCTATCTGACAAATGAGCAAATAAATTTCCAAAATTTGTTTTTAGCATGCGAATGTGTGGTGTTTAAAAAACTCTTTAAAGTTATTTTTTTCGCAAACCACAAAAAGGGGCTAGATATTTAAACTTTTTTCAGAATGATTTACCTCAACTTCTTCGAGAAGTTGATAACATTGAGACAGAACAAATGTGGTTTCAGCAAAATATTAAAAATACTTAATAGAAGATGTAGGACTGTAAGATCTTCGAGAAAAAATATTAGTATATATGATATGCCATTTAAAAAAGGAGAAAGGATCCGAATATCCCTTATTTTGAACACCCTGTATTACTTAATTCAAATTTCATTGCCAATTCGTCACACGTTTTTGAAAGGCCCTCAATACTTGAATAGTAAAAAGGATTTTGTTTTTTGAGAATGTATTTTTTATTAGTTAGAATCGCCAAGTACAACGAGATCATTAGCAGCATAGAGCGGAATAAGAAGTTCGTTGTTGGCGTTGATGGACAGACCACGCGCACTGTGTTGCTTAAAGAAATCAAGAATTTCTGCCAGGAATATAAAAAAAAGATATAGACTCAGAGACTCCCCTTGAAACATTGATACAGTTAGAATTGACACCAGACACAGTCGAAAGCTCTACGAAAATTAACAAAGATGGCATAAACCTTTCTGCCTTTTAGGCACAGGTGCAATTGTATAATACAATTGGTATAATTGGTATAATGCTGACAGCAGACTCCCATGTCAGAAGACTCGCCAGGAGTTTGTTCGTAAATACCTTCATTACCGTATTCAATAAAACATTTGGTCGGTAATTGTTAGGGTGATTTCTGTCTCCAGTTTTATGAACCATCGAAAAAACAATGTCGCATCAGCTCGAGGTTAGGTAAAATAATATATTAGAACACAGGGAGCTAAGTTGTAGGAGCCCGTTTTGTGGCAACAAGTTGTTAAGAAAATCAGTCCAAGGACTTATTACTTTTTGATCTTCTGATTCAATTTCGTATAGCGATATATCTGCCTCAAGGATGCGGTCACGTTGCCCAAAAATGGCTCGCAGCTAATTCGAGGGGGATTGTTTCCTATCAAAAATGATTCCCAAAGAGTTTCAGAAAAGTTACCGAAGAGCAAATTTTGATATGACTTTGAATAAAGCACGAAAAGAGTTTTTTAATTAATAATAGACAAAAATGCATCAAATTTACGATTTTCGCTGATAAGTTTTTTACACATACCCACATACAAAATAAGTTTGCCTTAGTCGATCTGAAAATAAGGCAGTCTTTATAGCTATAAAGCTTTTAAGTCCGCATTTAGCTCATTCTTGAGTGTATAACCCTCACAACCATACCAGGGCATGCTTTAACTAGCTTTTTTTGAATATGAAATTGTCCGAAGCAGGCCACTTGTCGCAACTGCTGAGGATATAGCCGCTCTAATGTTCTCCTACATTATTACAAGATATTATTTACAGTGTTCCGTAAACTTCTAAAAGTACAGTTAGTTCTGGTTAGTTTAGACCAGTACTCGTGGACATTCTAGATCTACGGTAAATCTAAATGTCTGGGAAAGGCAAATATATATATATATATATATATATATATATATATATATATATATATATATATATATATATATATATATATATATATATATATATATACTGCCGGTAAAGAACAACTAGGAGATCCAAATTATATTTAATTTTGCAACCGGGGTAAATTTATACGGAATCAAATAGACACTTTAAGAAAGACTAAAATACAAAAAGAAAATTCTGAAACTCTTAGCACCATCAAAATAAAATGGCGGAATGGTGAAGCATTTAGGTTTTAGAGGCTGTGGAAACTAAATAAAATAAAAAATAAACAAAGTTAGGCGGCCATTTTATAAACTCACTTACACTCCTGGTAACGCAATGAAAGTATACATGTTTTTTTTTTATATAAATAATTGCCTATAACATCTTACAAAGTTTTAGCTGTTATTTTTTGACATTTTCAAGCCCAGAATCTGATGGTTTGAACGAAATTATGAAAATATGAGAAAAATGCGAGACAGACAGAGTCTTGATATGAGCTGCTAATACTATTATTTATTTATATTTTGCTGTTTTGTTATTTTACTGAATTGATCGCGGTGCACTTCCTAGGAAATTTCTGGTAAACTTACACCTTGACCACAATCGCCTCTAATTTTTCGATGTTCGGGTGAGGTCCTTTGCGTTTCTGACGGCATTGAAATTAGACTTATAGAAAACAATGTTCCACAACACTTATAAAATTGCATCACTGCAAATATTTCTTTCTAAAAGAAAGATATTTTAAAATCAAAATTTAACCGCAGCATGCTGCAGAGAGCGGAAGATACGAGCTACATCAACATCAACTGCGTCGATCCCCTTGGCAGAAGTGCCTTGCTGATGGCCATCGACAACGAAAACTTAGAAATGGTAGAACTGCTGATAGAATACAAAGTAGAGACTAAGGACGCACTGCTGCACGCCATCTCGGAAGAGTTTGTGGAAGCCGTAGAAGTTTTGTTGGACCACGAGGAGACGATCCATAAAAAGGGAGAACCGCACGTAAGATCATGTTTCTTGGAAGTCTGTCAAGTCGAATCCTTGATATTATTTTCAAAAGCCTTTTTTAAAAACACCGACCAATTAAATAATTGAATTTGCGCGTTTTAAATTAAAGTTGGCGTTTCAGTAAAATAAGATTTATCTTGTCTCGAATAAAGCCGTTCGACAAAATTGAATTTCTCCGGTTTATTTGTCCTTGAGACGGTCTTCAGCGAGCCGACGTAGAATACAAAATTAATAGCTAAAATAATACTTGTTACATAGCGTTATTCGATATTAAACAATTTCTGATTTTGCACATGGCCTTCACAATCTCACCCATGATTTCCGATGCAAAAGTTTCGTGATTTTGTGTTGACCATTAAGCATTTTTGATCGAACGCGTCAAAAAACTTGGAAAATGTCAAATTTTGATGTTTTTTTACCAAGCGCCCTGGGTACAGGATGATTCACGTTGAGTAGCCTGTTTGAAGTTCTAGAGAACTAACATATTTTAAAATTATTTTGCATGTCCGGAGTTGCCAAACCGACCGAAAACGAATGGCAACATTGGAATCTCATCGAGAACACCATACATATTATTATTTTTATACATTTGTGGATTATTCATAAAATTTATATTTTTATATATTACTTCCTATACCTAATTTGAACTATTTTCGAGTCATTGATGGTTAAAAAGTGTCCGTTTTCCAAATTTCACAGGCTACAAAGTCTAGACGGCTCTGAGTAGAGCAAATCGGTTAGCACATTCCCTATCTTAGTTTTTTTATAAGCTAATGACGCCAATTAAAAATTTGACAGGAGTTGTCAATTTTGACAGGAGCTGTGAAATATGAATATTCCATCATCAAACCGTTTTGCTCTACTTTCAGCGGTTTGCATGTTATAGCTTGTCAAAAATGAAAAACGCCCACTTACCTACTGCCAATATCTAGAAAACAGTTGGAAGTAGGTATAGGAAGTACCACAAACGATTTACCAGGTTGAAGAATATCTAAATATGTACTATGATGGGTGTCCCGTTTAAAATTCCAATATTGCCATTAGTTTCCAGTAGATATGGCAACTGCGCATTGTCATAAATGTTTTAAAAATATAGTTTATCACTTCTTATGGCCGTGCACTAATCTTGAACAAGGTCACTTTTTTAGTTCTCCAGAACTTTTGATATTCAACGCGAATCACCCTATATTTTCACGATGTTTCAAAACAAATGCGGAAAAGTTAATCATTTAAAAAAATATATTTAATTTTTTAAATTAAAACACTAACATAAGGGTTAAAATTTCTTTAATGTATGTAATAAAAACGCAATCAATCACAACGAAAAAGTTAATGACACCGAGGAACATTTAAATTTTTTAATTACCTTTTTTATTTATTTATTAGATCGACTTACAGACCAATTACTAAGTAACAAGTTGCAATTGCCTTAAGAAATTAACCTATACTGCTTGAAATACGCCTAAAAAGTTTATTCCATCAGCAAGAAATGCAGGTAACATACTGGATTGTAACAGTTTTACAAACCACGCTTTTGTATCACTAATTATATCAATTTTCCTTTGGTATATTGTCATGACTCTAAAATTATCATTGTCACAGTCTAGACTATTTATGAAGTTAAAAAGATACAGTGGTATAGCTCTTCGATTGTGCAACTTTTTGCAAAATAGCTGGCAAAGTTAAAGAATTATCTATTTACAACCATTTTCAGTCTCTAGTTCTCTGTATATGTTCATGTCCCCATACAGCAAGATATTTGAATATCGAAAAGCTTTGCTTTATATCATTTATGAATAATATTTTTTATTACCTTTTCAAGGTGCTTAAGTAAACGTGAAATCTTAAGTTTTCATTTCCTACATATCCTCCTGGATTTATACTTTTGAATAATTGAGATTGGAATGCCTGTCTATTTAAATCCGCAATTGCCTGTCTTATTCTTTCTTCTAAAATTTAGATGGTGCTTCGTCTATTATACTAAATGTTGGTCTGTACATTGCGCAATAAAAAGTGGAGATATATTGTGCTTTTTGGTTGTCGTAAAAGAATTTGTTGACTGGCAGGACATTGTGAGGAGGTTCTCAGTCCTTTTTTCATTTTAGATTTACATTTGAATAGACAAATAGTTTTGGTTAGTTCTAAAATCTTTTGTGTTCTCTTCATTAATGCTTTTCTGTTGAAGATTCCTATTCCTGCAATTAAACTTCTTTGGATTTCCTGACAAAAGTACAATCACTTAATTTTTGAAAGCTTTTTTTGAATTTTGGGCAACGATTTGCTGAAAATAGTTTTTGCATCAGGAAATAAAAAGGCGAATATTTATAAAGCTTCTTTCCGTTGTTCCGAATTCCGCTTAAGTGTCCTCCTTTTATTCAAAGATATTTATTTTTGTCTGGCGAATAAGATAATCTCCTATCCATGATAATCGTTGCCAGCTCTAGATGTACTTCGCAGTTTAAATAAAATCGTTGGAATAACCTATCTCGCACAGTCTCGTAAATAATAATTGTATTGGATTCGAGTTGCCATTGCTTGCTTATTTGTTACGATTGCTTTCATCATGGGTATTTTAAATTTTGAACAGTTATATTTCCAATAATTATAGATAAAATGAGTATATGTGCATTTAAAATCAGAAAAAGAGACCTATTAGAATATAGGGGGCGGGGGGTTCCACTGAAAAAAACTGTCAAAATTTGACAAATTCTTAGGTTCAATAAAAACTACGAAACTTTGGTATTTGTCATTTTTTTCGTCTCTCAAAGGCTTTAAAATAGGAAAAGCCTCTACGTATTATACAGGTTGGTCTGTAATATACGCGTCAGACAGTAACCGTAGATTCTAGCCATCAAATTGTAGCCAAAATTGCTTTAACAAAATGTTGCTCGTTTAAAAGATAACAAATGACTTGTTAAAGTTAGATTTTCAATTTAATATTTATTTTTTAGTTTTTGACAGCTACCACCATAGGATGACTGATCCTATACTGAGAAATTCTCCCGTTTCAACTTAATTGATGTAAAGATATAATGCTCGGCAGCCTGCGGTTCGATTATAATTCGTAATATTTTCTATATATGGAACGTCCGTTTTAATTACTTTGTAAAATTTGTGAATCATTATGCCTCCGACTTTTCTCAAATTTCTTAATATAAAAACAACAGAAAAAAATTTACTTTAATTTAACATTTGTTGTTATTGGAAGGAGTAGGTTTCACATATCTAAATTGCGCAGTTTTTTTTTAGTCAAAGCATGCTGTTAATGGCTGTTGAAGTCCTAGTGCAATTTAATTTTATAGCATATTTTAGCGGATTATTGATGTTAAACAAGAATACCTTGTTTTCTTAAAAATAATCAATTTATCAGATTTCTAACCAAAGTTCCCAAAAAGTTTCATGGAAAGACGTGTAACTAGCTCCCCTATTTACACCACAAAAACTTCTTTTTGGCAAATTTGGTGTTTATTGTCTTAATAAGTTTTTGGTTTAATGGAGAAAAGAAAAAAATTTAAAAAATAAAATCAATAAAGAAATCAGCCAAGAGAAAATGCTGGAAATTATTTTTAAGTTTCTGAAATGGCCAAATCTATTTTGTTAGATGACTTTTACTCTTTCAAACAGGAAAATGGGGGGGGGGGTGCTACAACATTTCGGGAAATAAATATCAATAACTCCAAAATGACTTAATGGACTTTAGTAAAGTTGGAATGGTTAAAAAGATGCAATCAAACTTGGTATGAGAGAGATGCCACAAAATGGCGTATTTTGACATAAAGGAAAAAACAATTATTTTCTAAAAGAAAATAAAAGCAATGATATGATTTTTTTAAGTCATCAAATAGTCAAACAAGAACCCAACAACTCAGTGAAAACCGCATCTCAGTATCTTTATCCTAACCTAAAATATGAACAAAAGAATTTAGAACTCAACGGAAGTTGTGATATCCTTATCTGTTTTCAAATATTGGGTATAATCACTTTTTTTTATAAAAACTTAGCTTTAGTAACTCATTTCTCACGTTTTAAGTAGTAAGTAGAAGACCACTTTGTTTCCGTGTCCTGCTAGATTTCCAGACCTCACTGTCCAGGAGTTTTACCTTTAGGGTAGAATCAAAGGTTTTATTTATCAAACTGGCCCTATCACCCCTGAAAATATGGTTGATTGTATCCGAAATGCTGAAATTAGTACGGACCTATTAAAGGGCGGAATGCACTTTTATAAAAACCTTTGATTTTTCTTTCAATCGATTTTGTTGTGTTTTATCATTATCAATGTTTAGTTTACATAAAGTTCTAATTTGTTAATTTATAAGCGTTGCGTTCGATTAGGATAAAGATATTGGAATGCGGTTTTCACTGTGTTGTTGGCTCTTATTTGACTATCTGATAACGTAAAAAAATTCATATCGTTTATCTTTTTTTATAAAATAATGTTTTTTACTGCTTTTTTAGAAAATGCCATCTGGTTGGTAGCAGGGTATTAATTGCAGGTCATTTCCGAAACTCAAAAATATTTTTCTTTTTAATTTTTAAGGAACATCCTTTTCCCGAATTCTGTATCTCGTTTTCCTTAATGGGACACAGGGTATATTGACGTCTAGAGTCTACGGTTACTCTGGCTCAATTATTACGCAATGTACGAAATGTGGAATTTTATGTTAATAGTCGCTCAAATTTACTTTTGTCAGTCACTTCGTTCAGCTGTCAAGTTTTTTGTTAAAACGTATTCTAGTCTTCCCTAGTGGGTAAGAAAATTATATCGAACAATTCTCCTCACAACCCATAAAGATTTTACTTTTCCGCGGCGACTTGTTTGCGTATCATTCGAAACGACAACCGTAGCAGACGTCTTTATTTACGTCACCAGCAACTTGAACGTTCGCTACAGTAAACATCATTATCAATACTGACAACCTGCAAAATAAGTTTTAATATCCTCTTCGAAAGTTGTTTCGGTGAACGATCGTTGTCGAGCCTCATTCACCAACGCGCACCTTCGAATTCTTAAATTAAGCATGCTTTTGGATAATTTCGAGGTATCGAAAGATTGCAGAAATTTTTCTAGACAATAATGCGAGTAATATTTCTTGTTGGTAGAGCTGGGAAGCGCTGCCTCCAGACACTGCCACATTCACGCCAGATATTACTCCTCTGATTTTGTCCGCCCATAGAGATAACTACGAGATTATTAAGATATTGTTAGATAGGGGAGCCACCCTTCCGATGCCGCACGATGTCAGGTGAGTTTTAGAGTTGCAGAGCGTCTAGCGTTTGCATGGTTGAAGCAAGTTGGAAAACATCATAAGAAAATTTTACTCCAGTTTACAATCCTGCTAGTTGTTAATTACGGATTTATTTTACATTACTTAATTAGGTGGTAACATTTTGTTTGTCTTCGTAACTTCAGCTTACTGTTTTAGAGTTTTTTAAATTCAAAACAATTTATTTCCCTTTAGATGCGTGACAATTGACAATCACACAAATAAACGAGGTTTAAAAAGCATTGTTCTAAGGAGTCGCTTCTGCAATTGAAATACTTCGTCAATTACCCGCACATACAAGTACTACGGTTCATATCAAATCATATCATATGCAAAATATGACATGATATGATATAACTAATTATAGCAAGTGAAGAATTCACAGTCAGCATAAAAGAAATGTGTACATAAATGTGTCTTTTAATTCAACGATAGAGTAGAAGCAGTAAACTAGTAGGTTCTCCTTAACATTCGTGCCATCTACATTTAAATCAGAAGAATATTATGCAGGGTGTCAAATTTTGATCAAGGGCGTAACTTTTAAAAGGTATAGGTAACAAAAACTACAAGAACTTATTGGTGGATTGGCTTTTAGTTTTTTTTTTCTGATAAAATCGGATAAATTGTGTTCTTTTTCAAATGAATTCCACAGGGGACTCTAATACTATTTCCAAATCTTCTGGATATCTCCTGCGTCGGTTGTTGATGAACTAAATTTGCTGAAGTTACGTGAATTATTCTGTTGGCTGCTTCAGAACTAAACTGAAATTAAAAAAGTGGCATGAACATTAAGCTTGTGCAGAATCACATCCAAAAATTTAAAAAACTAAGTCCATTACTAGGGAAACAATCAACCTCCTCTCAAATAACAAACACAATTGTATTATCTTACCAACTTTCTGAGAGAGAAAAATTAGTTCTTGCGAAAGGTTCCAACCTCGTCCTTTCCCCACGTATTATCCCAAAAGACGAAATCATTTCAAATGTCTAGTATATCCTAAATAAACTGCCACCTCGAAAAGCTAATGAAATTTGATTTGAAACCGCAAAAATCATTTAAAAATCTAATTCTGGCATCGTGATTTTAAAAGCAGATAAATTAAATGCTCCGGTAATCATGAACTCAAGTGAACAAACGTCAGGAACAGCTAGCGGTTGTTCATTATCACCAGTCCTCGCGAATATATTTATGGAAGCCTTTGAAATGATACGTTTGTTATTTGGCCTCATAGTCCAGAAACCATAGAAGATTTTCTTAGCTATTGAAATTCTATACACCCTAACGTACGTTTTACTATTGAATTGAAAACTAATAATAATCTCCCATTCTTAGATATTTTTATCAATAGAAAATCAAACTAACATTGTGTCATTCGGTTTACAGAAAACTTATGCACACAGACCAATACCTTAATGCATTGTCATATCACTAACCGGCCCAGTCGGTTAACAACTCTCTTGTTAACAAAGCCGTAAAACTATCTCAGCCCGAGTCACCACACCAAAAGTAACACACTTTATATCTGCTCTACTCTCTAATTTCGAAATTAGAGATGTTAATCGTTCCATCAAAAAATACACTTCAGCACAACCTTCCAAAGACAAAGATTCCGAAAGCAACCCCACATTTGTCACCGTTGTCTTGCCTTTTACATTCAACACATCACTGACCACTTATCAAAAGTTATAAAGAAATATAATTTTAAAACCAAATTTACCACTTGTCCAAAAATCTCTCAACATCTTCGATGCGTTAAAGAGAAAATTCATTTTGAGATAGCAGGAGTTTACAGCATTTCATGCATCTGCGGCAAAGAATACATTGAAAAGACCGAACCAAAAATATCAAGTAGACTTCAAGAAAATTAAAATAGCCTTAAGACTACGACAAACAAAACCGAACATTAAATTTTATTCGATAAAACTAAAATTCTTGCATGTAATCAATTCTTCTACTAACGACACCTTCGAGAATCTATAGAAATCAATAAGCAACGAAACAATCTTAACCAGTCATCCGAGACAACGTTCATGCCCCTCCTATATCTGTTTAAATTTTAAACCTGTGTAACCTGTCTACTTTTACAAATGTGTTTCGTGACTTTGAGTGTTTTATACAAATATGTATTTGTTGATTTTGTTTTGACTTGCTACACATACAGTTTATATTCTGTGGTTAAATAAACAAAGCTAAACCTAACCCTAAACCTAAATCTACTCAATTACAACCGTCGCTCGTGATAGCGTCGGGTACAGCCAGGCGTGAGGGTGTTCCGCTAGAACGCCAACATATATAGCTTCCTTAAACTTCTGCACTTCTCAATGAGGTTTCTTGTGGACAACCCGAGCTTAGGACCATATGTGTTGTTAGGTTTATTGTGTGTTTCCTATATTCTTCAATTCTAATGTCTTATACATCTTTTTGTTTGTCCGATTTCTCCGATATATGACTCCTCATAGTCACACTCAGACACACAGAGAGAGAGAGAGAGAGAGAGAGAGAGAGAGAGAGAGAGAGAGAGAGAGAGAGAGAGAGAGAGAGAGAGAGAGAGAGAGAGAGAGAGAGAGAGAGTGAGAGAGAGGGGGAGATCCACCTAACATCGTTCTGCTGTTGCTTCCCGTTTACAATTTGATATTTTTTTGTCAATACATTTTTGAGTGTATCCATTATTGATAGTGCTTAATTTTATATCGAGTGATTCGTCTCTGCATATTGTGATTACTCATTCAAAGAGTGTTTGGATGATTCCTAGTTTGGTTGCTTCAAAATTTAATAATTTAAATATTAAATAATTTAAAGGGTACTTTCTTCCCGTTATTGCAGTTTTTGTTGCCTGTACCGCTAAAATGTTGCGCCCCTGATGAAAATTTGATCAGATTTTTCATGTGTCTCCAGTAGGGGGCGTTTTCGACATATATAGAAATATGTTTTGCTGTTACAGTTTGGCCCACTATGAATCACATTATATAAATGAAAATGGCGACTAATGCCAACAGATATTTTCAATTTAAGACAACATTTTAGAATATTAATGCCAAATCTGCCCTGATAATTTTGATTATCGAAATTTTTAGAAATATACGCAAGATTTTTATGAATACGAATAAGCTGTTTGGAAAACACGGACAGCAAAGCAGTAGCTACAGTTTACTTTCTTTTTGTTCTTAAAATTATATGATACTTTTCACATGCAACTGTTTACACGTCTATTGCAATACAAATTGATTATTATTTATTATTTAGTTAAGGGTATACATAAATCAAATGCTCTTCCAAATCAGCTCAAAAACTCGTTAAAATTATAACACGCACGGCTCCCAACGGGCAGCTTAATTTCTTCTTTCAAAACGTGTTAGGAAATTTCATATATATGGCGAGTCGATAGTGATTTATTGGGGCACGGTATTTTCTAAGTAAAATTTTAAATTAATTTCAATTCTCTGCTCATAAAGGGAGCACTAGTGATCGATATTTATATATAATTTTAATAACTTCTCCGAGGAAGAAGGTTTTTTAATTTTTTCTTGAGAATTAAGCAGTTATTCTATTGCATTATAAATAGTAGGTGTAAATTACATCTAAAATAATCTAATAAATATTTGAAGCAGTTTATTTTAGAATCATTCTTAAACTTTAATTTTTGGTAATCCTATACTTTACTTTACTTACTTTAATAACGTAATAACGTAAATACTGTAAATTAATTTTGAGTTTCAAAATGGCCACCAGGAACTGCAATTGCTATCTAAAACTTGAAAACTCGGTTTTTGCAAAAATTTCTAACGTTAACCGTAGTTAAAATGTGTACTGTTTCAAAGCTCAGACCAATTAAAACCTTTTGGATATTCTCGGAGTCGCTAAAAATGACTTTTCCTAGGCTAGACTATGACTGACGCGATTGCTGCTAGGTGGTGTTTTCTGATCCAACAACCCAGTCAAAATCCCATCTCAATATCTTTATCTTACCCTCAAATATGAATAAAACAACGCTCCAGAAAAAGTAGGATTTTGAGAAAAAAATTGACTTTGCTGGAAGTTATTATTAATATCTAATTATCTCCAAAGTGACGAATACTAACTCGATCACTAACCAATTGTTGGAGACAAACAAATTTTATTAACTATGGACGTTTGTTTGAATGGTAAAATGAGGAGAGTTGAAAAAATAAATAAAACATGAAAATTCATTCTGTTTTTTTATCTGACCATCTTTCGTGTCATTAGTTGGTACTTACCAAATTCTCTTGCTTGCCTGCCGTTTTCATTAGTTTACATTAGTTAAATATTAATTAGAAATTAAACGATACGTTAACGATAAACGATAACGAATGAAAATACTAATAATTTCAATACATACTTAAATAATTCAATAATTAATAAAATTGGTTAGCTGTTAACAGTTGCTTAGTTTTGTTAAGTTAACTAAAACAAAAAATTAATTAAAGAATATATTAAAATACTAAATTGTAAAGTCACAATAACTTTGCGTTTTATTAAGTAAAGTCGAGATAATTAGACATTAATAACAACCCGTAGGCTTGACCAATTTCCCAAAATCCAACATTTTTGTAGTGTTAATTTGTTTCGTTCATATCTTAAAACTTTTTGGAACTATGAATTAATTGTTTATGAATATATGAAGAATGGATGCGATAGAACTAGTATTTTCAACACGTAAAACTAACTTAAGAAATATGAAGCGTAATTCTAATTCATACTATTTTAAAGCGCAATGCACAAAAATAAAGATTTTCAAAACTCCATTGCAAAAAAAAACTAAAATCAATAATTTCTTTTTCCTCTGAACATGTTAAAATAAAAAAAATTAAAAGATAAAAACAATGATTGCTAGTCCCTGTTGGGGTTTATCTCTGTTTAATGTTCCATCAACCTCCTGTCTTACACAAGCCATATTCATCATAGCTTTGAATACCACCATCGGCCTTCTTCTTGTATTTCTAGCTACATCATAAGTGACATATAATTTATCTCAGAGGTCTACTTTGGTTTGCGTTTTTTCATTAGTTGATTCATCAGTTTGATCATCATAGTGCAATCAAGATATATGAATAACATTCCAATACACCTTAGACCCATACGAAATAATGATAGTATTCTTTTGAAATCCGCATAATAAAGAATGAACACAGAGCGAGGTCATGTCTTGGAAAATGCTCACTTTTATTTTTCTTTATATAGCCAACGTACGCAATTGTATGCTCCCAGACCATTTGTTCACTAAACCCACACTTCGTCGCACGTTAGATTTCAGCAGTATAAATACACTAGGTGGATCGTTGGGTAGATCATAAGTACCTGATGGCTGTTTGCTGACATAAACTTGTAGATTAGCTACATAGAAAATAGCAAGGCCTACCAGGGAAAATATTTTTATTCCATACTTATTCGGTTTACTAAGAGTATATTGCATGTCGCAAACATCTTAATTGTGGAATTCTCTGCTACGGTATATGCTTTTTTACAGTCTTCAACAAAATCTCACTTTCATCTCTATAGTATCCAATGAGAGATTATACGATCATGAGACATATCACTAACTAAAATTGCGAGTCCTGTTCCATCCCATAAATCCTTAGCATTTAATAGGTCCCGTGAGATATTTTAAAACTAAAAGTAGGCGAAGAACCATTTGAAAATGCTTTTCAGTTTGTTCTTGAATGAATTGTGTGGAGTCCTTTTACACAAGGAAAGTTTCTTACGGGCTATAGGTTTAATAGTAATAATCTTTAGGTCTCATAGCAGCTGTAGAATATTTATTAGGTGTATCTTGTTTCCTGACTACTCCAAATGTCGCAGTTCCTAACAAAATAACCATCCGATTTACGCGGTGATGTTTCGTACGTACCGTATAAATGTGTTCCTTTCGCATTTGTTTTGCAGATGCGGTTGCGACGAATGTGTCACGTCTCGGATGGAGGATTCTCTTCGACACTCGAGGAGTCGCATAAATGCATACCGAGCGCTGGCGTCGCCGTCCTTAATAGCGCTCTCCTCCAAAGACCCCATCCTCACCGCGTTCGAACTTTCATGGGAATTACGCAGGTGCGATCCACACTCTGAAAACGAGCGTATTTTATATTTCCAGTTTAGGCGCCGATGCGAAGCCGTTTACTGGATATAATTGGTTCTTCAAATTTTTATTATCTTCACGCTGAGAGAAAATGTAGTACCTACTTAAGGAATGGATTTTGATGAAATATGTGTAAATAGCCCTATTGCGTTAACAGATTATTATTGTTTAATTTATTTGTTTACCTTCATTTCATTACTAGTGGATTATATTCGACTCCCACCATTAGGATCTCGGTGACGGTAAAAGATACAGCGTGACTTAAATTATTATTATTATTAAATTATTTTTGTTACTTCCGGAAATATTGCGGAAAAACTGAACCTTTCTGTTTTCGTTTTTATTTTTTTTGTCTTTATTTTCAAACTTATCAAAAATCTGTAAATACATTGTCATTGGAGCTCAAAAATCCCTTAAGACGTTTCGTTTTTCTCTAACCATCAACTTTATTTTTTCTTATTGTAGCCATAATGGATTTTTGCAGTGCAGAAATAGCCCGTATTATTACTTTTTTATGGATGTATTACAAATTGTATTTGTATTGCGTCAAATTCCAAATATTGAACAAAAACTTGTATAAATACTTGTAGTAAGTATGTATTGTTAGTTATCAATTTTCAAATCTGTCTATGATATTTTGATATCTAGTGCGTTACTGTGTCATTAAAAATGAACTTTACCAATGAAGAAATACGAGATGTGGTAAAACTTTATTATAAGAACAATAGAAACGGTGTCAAGACATCGGAAATGTATTTGAACATGTATCCTGAAGTACGACAACCTCATCGAACTTTGTTTAAATTATTGGACAGAAATCTCAATGAATTTGCTTAGTTTCATAAACTAAGACAAAAGTATGGAGACAGAGTTAACGAAGAAACTAAAGAAAATTTGCTTAATGAGGTAAGATTAAGGAGAAATTATTTCATTCTTTTCAATAAAAATTGGCATTGAGCCCGATAACATCCACACGCCGAGTTTATTCTGATGTAGGGGCTTCTTCTCATACGAGTGCGTAGAGACACAATTACAATTATGTAATTGGCTACAAAGGAGACCTGATTTTCCAGCTTTTCTAGAAAATGTGTTTTGGACAGATGAAAGCACATTTACAAATTGTGGAATATTTAATCTAAACAATAAACATATCTAGAGCACTAATAAGTTCGATTTAGTCTTCATGTGTGGGCAAGTATTTATAAAGACAAAATTTTGGATAATCATTTCCTTAACAGCACTCTGAATGGAGAACCATATTATCAGTTTTTGATATCAACGCCTAAAGACTATTTGGATGATTTACCTTTGATCCTCTACAACAGCATGTGGATGGCGCCGGGATCGGCGATCAGATATCTGATCATCTTTCGACAAGGTTTGGGGGCAGATGGATTGGGAATAATGCACCACGGTACACTTAAAACAAGAATTTACGGACGGGGTGAATACTAAAATATAAAAGTGCTCCAAATTAACATAATCGGAGAAATTATACAATACATCGCGCAGTGCCTACAGAGAAGAGTAACACTGTGTTTTCAGAATCTCGGACAGTATTTTGAGCATAACCATTATTATACTGAGCTTTTTGAAATTATCCTGAAGTTTCTCATTAACTATACATTCATATTTTTGTGTTTGTTTATCAAACGAAGCAAACTCAGTCAGATTTCTATGCAATAATTTAAAATATAAACAGGATACATGTTCAAATACATTTCCGATGCCTTGACATCATTTCTATAGTTCTATAATTCGGGCTATTTGAGAAAACCGAAACGTCGTAAGGGATTTTTGACCTTTCCATAAGATGATGCGTAAAAAGTTCGAATGAAAATAAATGTATTTACAGATTTTTGTTATGTTTTAAAATAAAAAATAAAATAAAAACCAAAACTGGAAGTTCCACGTTTTCTGCCATATTTCCGTAAGTAACAAAAATAACCTCTATATCAAATCGAAACATTATTGAACTCATCGATGTACAACTTTGATCCAATTTAAGGCACCCTGTATCTCTCACCTTATGGGGATGGTCGACCTTGAAAAATCCGATATATTACACCCGAATGCTGACTGCTTCGCGTTTACCATTTATAACCTCGAATTGTCAGAGAAGGGTGGCTGTTCTGGCTGTTATCGGCTTAGACCAGAGAACTCGATTTAATAGGAAATTGCACCGACGCACAGTGTTTCAAATGACAATACTACGCGACCAAAATTTTGTGCGTGCAAAATTTCGCACTGGATGGTTACAGTTAACAGAAAAATAATTAATTTGAAAAGGGATTAACTTCGTGGCAAATTTAAATTACGCTTTTCATATTCCGTCACTACAGGCGCGCTACAAATTTTTGAACTAGTAATTGCCCATTTTTTGGCTTCACAAAATACTTATACAGTAAAACGTGGAAACTTTTTTTATTCGTTTTTTTCCCCAGCGCTTTTTAAAAACATGTAATTGACTAGATATGTTATCTCAGATAGACACATATTTTGACATTTTAAAAAATATATCTTCTTTCCATCTTAATTTTATCCCCTTTAACATAGTTCAATCATTATTACTTGAAACTGATTTCCACCAGCTGACATTGTTTCCATAAATTACGGAGTTTTCTTTAAGCATTTACTAGAATTCAGTGACCAGCTAAAAATATATGAAAACCATGTAACTTTTTTATAAATTCAATTCAGCTTTTATACTTTCCAAATGTACAAAAATTACGGAATATATTTAAAATTAAGTATAAATATTTACATTTGTTGATTCGCTTCCTTAAAATTCTATTTTATATTGAATAGAAGAAGTCCCGTATTAGTCGAAAATAAAAATGAAAGCTAATGGAAATCAGGTTCGACAGTTTGTTTTAAATTTACCCTTACATAATTATAACAGTAAAAATTTGTAACGGTAAATAAATTTAGAATAGAATAGAAAATTAGAAAGATATATCTCGTTTTACAAAAGTTTATCTGGACAGATATGCATTTTCAGCTTTAGCTCGAATCTTACAAATTATATCATTTGCAATACATCTTAGTACGCCACTGTATTCTACGCAAGAAGATGTATGGGACTCCGTTTTTACCATCTCATTACGATTACGTTTCTGTTTCGAAAATGGGTCTCTGTTTTACTGAAATCGACCACAGTATTCCAAAAACCGCATCCCTCTATTTCAAATAATAAGTGAGATTCCCCTCCATAATGCCGAAAAATGGACACATTGCACTTTTAAGCAATCATTTTTTAAGTAAAAATTTAATTTTTATTCATTTAATTTTATCATACCTCAAAATTAGTATAAAATAATTTAACCCTGAAAAAATGTCAAATTTTAGAAACAATTGCAATTTACAGTTTATTATAAATAAATATGAATAAACGCTAATTAATTATTTAAGATGATCTGATATTTGGAATCAAAACAAAATGTTTCCATAATAATATTTTTTTTAAAATACCTTTGAAGGGCACCAAATTACCCTTACCATTTGTGAAACATTTACCATTATCATTAGATTATCAGATTAATCTGTTCATTTTATTACTATGAATTTTCTGTGAATATTTTTAATATTAGCTAGTTTTCATTTTTTTGTAAATTCGGCCAGCAAAAACGTTATTGCTTTAGAGAAACTGCACATTTTCCGATATGTAAGCGCAATTTATGTACGTCTCAAAGGTGCGGTGAGATCGGTTGCGAGAAAAATAATGCTTCTAGACACTTATCCGCGTATGAGACCGTTACCAAAGAAAAACGAACCTGTGCAGTTAGAACTTTGCTTTGTTCAGATCCATATATCTCGCAATCATGTTGACCGTTGAAGCGGGCTCAACAGTGTCGTGATTTTTAATTCTGTTGTTTTTATTAAAACTATTGAATTGTTTAATAATAGTAATAATAATAATAATAATAATAATAATAATAATGATAATAATAGTAATAATAATAATAATAATAAAAATAATAATAATAATAATAATAATAATAATAATAATAATAACTCTTTATTTTCTAACAGATTCTCTGCCAGATTTGCATAAAACTAAATTAAAAATGCTTCTTCATTAACAATCTTCTTAAATAAGTCCAGACTGGCGTTGAATGGATATGCGTCAGTTTCACTCTCAAGATCATTGAAATTTGCCTGAGAAAGTGGGCCCCTCGTTCCAGCATTGGCAGACGTAGTTGGTTGACGAAAGCGAATATTATGTCGTGCATAAGACAGCACACGAAAATTGAGTTGCTGTAGTACCTCTGCACAATCGATGAGGCCATTGCATAGTTTATATATAAATACTACCCAGAACGCCCACCCTCCCATACTCCAAGGACAAAAAGTTAAATCGCTTGAGCAGTTCTGTATGGTCGCAATCCAGGTGTGGAATCCAACCATCCAACTTTAGGAATTTTCTAATCCTTTCCAATTTATTAATGTGCACTTCATAAATGAGAGACCAAATTATAGAAGCCTAACCAAATTTAGACTTAACTAGGCAATCATATAACCTCTTTAGACAATCTTTTGTAGTGCGGAAAATGAAACGGAGGTTCCTGTTTGCTTACTCGGCTATGCTCTCAGTGTGCATGTCAAAATTAAAATCCTTATCAACATCCACCCCAAGGTCATTGACCATCCTACTGTCCACCAGAGAAGTACCATCAATATAATACGGGCAGAAAATTATGACATTTTTGAATATCAAGCAGAAGGCCATTCTCCAGGGAATGTGACTTGAAATATTAGAGTCAATTAATAAAGAGAGAAAAGAGAAGCGGCACTAGATAACTACACTGGTTGCGGTAAATTTAAAAGACTTGAAACCATTATGCTAGACGAATAGTGAATGGTCTGATAAGCATGTCCTGAAAAACACACTCAGATTATCCTCAAGACCAATTGAAGACATCTTAGTCAACAAAATCCCGTGACCCATTCGGTCAAAGGCTTTTGGAGAAATCTATGTAGATTCATCGAGATCCATCGACTTATAGTTTGTTATTTAGGCTATTTTGAACATATTGAAAAAAACAGAAAAGATTTGTAACTGCCGTTCTAAGCGTGTAAAAACCACGCTTTTCACCTCAGGAAATAAGGATTCGTACATTTTCCTAATAATATAGGGGGGAGGTTTTATTTAGAATACCATACTCAAGATATCTTGATAGCCAACGGTTACGTTACATAACTAAATAACTGCTAAGTTCCTATTTACTTTTAATATTTCCCATACACTTCGATAGCAATATTAAAATCTGTCTTCATCCAAATACAAAAATTTTCATCATTACAAGATTTTTAAGAATGAAAAAAATGAAAATTTAAAATTCCATCCCCAAAAAAATGGTACGTCAATATATTCTTAGGAAGTTAAAAGTTTCCTTAGCGTCGAATGTTTTCACAAAGTCCCCTGCTTATATCTAAATTAAGTATCTCAATCTTCTCATGGCACTAATTACGTCATTGATTACCGCGCCTTAAACTACCAGTTCCAATCTGGCCGAGGGAGATGGAGAGAAAGGGAGAGATGATGATAATAAAGCGGTAATTATGAATTACAGGCTAAGTTTCATGGAGCACGAGTTCCGGGGCGAATACCAAGAGCTTAGGAAACAATGTCAGGACTTTGCAACCGCTTTACTGGACCACACGAGGAGCTCTTACGAGCTGGAGGTGCTCCTCAATCACGATCCTACTGGTCCGGCCTTCGAGCACGGCGATCGGATGCACCTCAATAGACTGAAACTTGCCATCAAGCTTCGACAGAAAAAGGTAACAGAATGATCGGCACACTTTTGCTATACTGTTTTCTTGGCTTTTTTATCCGTATAGAAAAATATTTATCTTACGAATTACGAACTAACATTTTTTGTTTTACCACGGTACCCGTTACATTTCGATTACTTATGTTATAAAACCTCAGAACCTATTAATTTTTCGGGAGACATTTTCGGTATTCTTATATAACCTTTATTGCACTTAATTGAAGAATCTTATAAAAGTAACGCTGTAACGCTTTGACGCTGAAAGTAAAATTCAAATAGATGGTTGCATATTATGTGCGATCCTGATAAATGAAAAATTAATCTAGAGTTCAAAATAAAAATGGTATTCAAGGAAAAAATAATTAATAAATAACACAACAAACAACAAATCTCACTCTGCGCAGAGTCGCCTGGTAAACACAATCATTCTCGATAAGGTACTATCGATCTTTTCGGTATTTCGATCGATTTATTAATATTTGTGTTTTATTAGAAGTTGACCGAAAAAATGAAAGGTACAGTTGTGCATTTTCTGTGTACTGGTGTAGGTTACAAAATCGCAAACAAGATCTTATGTGACAAATACAGATGGTAAATAGAAGAGGCCCAAGGAGCGAACCTTGTGGAACACCACACGTAACTGGCTCCGTAGACAACACAGTATCGTTAAATTCGACATATTTAAGTCTGTCATTGAGATAATTGCATAAGAGACATATAGCTCCCTCTGAAAAACCAATATGATGTATAATTGCAAGTAACAAGGCGCAGGCTTTAGAATAATCAAGGAATGTTAGGACCGTCGCCTGATCTTTATCAGCGAATTATGTCATCTCTTTTAGTAATGTGGTCGCACAACCAAACCCTTGCCTAAAACCCGATGGATTTAAAAGAAGTATTCTGTATTTTTGAAGATACCCTCTAATCTGATAATTCATTATTTTTTCAATGACTTTTGATAATGCTCGTCGGAAAGGGGAGAGTTCTAGTGTAAAATTCAAATGGCATTTCAAAACATGTTTTATAATTATTTCTTAATGAAATGGTTTTTTCTACCGAAAAACTGAACCAATGGGGTGATTTATTTTTGGTTTTTACATCCTTTTAAGAAAAAGTCATTTAGAATTAAAACTTTTTAGTTGACATCCCTTACTGAAATTATATCCTCAAAAGGTGATACCGATAAGGAATTATCCAACAAGTCCCTGTCAAAATTCTTAAAATTTCTTACCTTTACTATCTTACATGATTTAGTTATATCCCTTATTACGCAATAAGTTAAAGAATGATCGGATATGTCTGAGATGTCTAAAGTTCCGCACTGAAAATTGTTTTTTTCTCTGGATATAAGGATCATATCCAGCGAGGGGAAGGTTTTATCTATAATTCACTTATTGACCTATTGATTAGGTTAGTTTTCTAAAAGCATATTCCGTTCGTTCCAGTAATATTGAAAACTTTTACAACACTGGTTTAGGTGACTTATGGGAATATTACTCTTCCAGTAAAAACTAAGGTTATTTTAGAACCGTGCGCAAATATTCAGTTGTTGTATTTTTTATGGAAAGAATTGTGCGAAGTTCTTAGGTGTCCTGGTAGCTAGAGAGTATTTATTAGGTGTTTTAAAGAGTTATAAGCTTACTTCGTAAAAACGAAGTAACCTATAAAACTACAAAATAATGTTTTCAACGACATCTTACAAAATTTGTAACACCAATGGCTTTCTTATAAAACTATAAAAACTAATACTTATTATAAACCCCTTACCTTAAAATTAAATCTTAATCTGACAAATTATTTTGCATGGGGAAAGTTTACCTTAATTTGACATTCAAGCCTGCATTAAGCAATAACTATTAAAACTACGAAAAGTTTATACTTATTTAGAAATTGGATCTTGAACTCCTGACGTAACTATTTATATTGGAAAGGTTTTTAATGTAAAAGTCATAGACGTGATAGCACTTGATGCTGAAATTTTAGAATCTTTCAATTTTATAATATTCGATGTATCTTTCAGCCACCACTGGTATGATGAAAAATTCAATTTTGCAGTTGCTGAAGGTAAAGGAACGCGACAGATCGCAACAAGTTATCATCACTTCTGACACAACTGTCACTATTTAAAGTATGACAGGTTCGCACAATTTTGTAATGGTACAGGCAGTAAGAAGGAAGCAACATTCATTCCCAAACAAGATAATTTCGAATCTGGAAGAAGGAAAACGGAAGCTCTTCAAAAATTTGGTAATCTAAGGGTTTTGCTATTCAACCAGACATCTTTCCAATATAATTTATTCCACAACTTAGTTAAAACCTCCTAATAGTTTTATGCTTCAATGAAGACGAAGAACCATATATTTTCGGTAAATGTGCTATATAATCTAATTCTCAAAAAATCATTGTCTATTCAACTCCAATTCGCAATGGCAGCTCTATGTCATCTACCGCCATTTTAGTGAACAAGCACCTGACATATCTAGTCTAAGAACCTAAAACGAAATTTTGTAACTTCTCCTTGAACTTGTTACTTTGGGTTTCTGACAACGCTTTAAAAAAAAAACTCTCGATCACCTATTTGAACATCTAGTTCAATATCCCAAACTTATTCAAAATCTTCTGAAAATTTCTTCTATGTTTGGATTAGAAGCTACATTCGCTCTAATTTTTTTGCAATACAATTTTTTCAGTTTAGTAGTCATTTGCTTCTACCCAAACCAGCTGTCTTACACTCTAGATTTTAAATTATGAAGAAATGACAAACGCAATAGCTCGAAAATATTGACCTTGACCATTTAGATTAGCGAATCATCTTCCAGCGGGTAATATTCATTTCGAATGGACCACCAAACTCAATAACCCTTTAATGAGGACTATTTTACATTCGGGCAACAGAAAATAAATTTTTATCGGCGAATTTACGTTCCAGTTTTATGACCCCTTCGAAAATATGAAAGCGAATATTCAGATTTTAGTGCAGACAACATTTATCGGCCGTTCGCTGCAGTTAATAGATTTAAGGGTCGTAAATAGGCAGGGTATTGTTTTGCCGTGCACTTTGGCAATAAACCGAGGGTGCATTTTGTTTGGCGCGGGAGCATAGGCATACAACCCTGTCAGTCAAATACTTGTAGTTCAGTGGCCCGTTGACCCACTTTATGGGCACTGACCCTTTTCTACACCGATCACCCCTGTGCAGTGATTAGGGCGCCATTTTATGGGTGTCAAACTCCTACACCTGACTAATTTCGAATCTGACAATAAGAAAAGCGACAGTTCGATTATTCAAGCGGCAGTGCAGTTTATATATATATATATATATATATATATATATATATATATATATATATATATATATATATATATATATATATATATATATATATATATATATATATATATATATATATATATATATATATATATATATATATATATATATATATATATACACGCTACACTGTATACCCCTTGGTTTTCCAGAGTAATTTTTTGTTTTGGGTTCCTTAGTATAGCTCCGATGGTATGGTCAGGTTTGTATGCCGTTGATATGTCGTGTTTCCGTAATATTCGGCCGATTTTGTCAGTAACCCCCTTGATGTATGGCAGGACAGCGATCGATCTTCGTTGGGTCTCGTCCTGCACTCTCTGCTGCGGCTGTTGTTGTTTACTGATTGCCTTGCTGATGGTGCGCCTTTGGTATCCGTTTTGTCGAAGACAGGTACTAATTTTCTTCAGTTCTTTATCTCTGTTCCTCTCGTTTGTGAACCTGAATTAGTATTATATATATATATATATATATATATATATATATATATATATATATATATATATATATATATATATATATATATATATATATATATATATATATATATATATATATATATATATATATATATATATATATATATATATATATATATATATATATATATATATATATATATATATATATATATATATATATATATATATATATATATATATATATATATATATATATATATAATGATATATGATATTTTGGCGAATTATCCTACTCCAGGGTCAAACGACGAACGGATAAACACCCGGCTTACCACCAATACACATAGTTCCATCCGTGAAGGACTAAAGCAAAATATATATATATATATATATATATATATATATATATATATATATATATATATATATATATATATATATAATGTTTTGTTTTAGTCCTTGACGGATGGAACTGTTGATGTTGATTTCCTTTATCAGTTGTAAAAAGTGTTCGGAGTTCTTTACATAAGATGCCTTGGCTTCCACGATAGGTTGCAGTATGTTAGCTAGATATTGTGGAAGCCAAGGCATCTTATGTAAAGAACTCCGAACATTTTTTACAACTGATAAAGGAAATCAACATCGATCCACAAGATGTCTTGGCTAGCTTCGATGTAAAATCTCTGTACTAGAGTACACCTATTGACGAGGCTTTGGAAGAACACGTATTTTAGATACGATGGTCAGCTCTATAGACAGACAGATGGCGTCCCAATGGGGTCATCACTTTCGCCAGCAATAGGAAACCTGTTCATGGCCTATTTCGAAGCTCAAGCGATCCGAGAAAGTCAACTCAAGCCGAGTCTCTGGATCCGATACGTCGACGACATCTTTATCATATGGTCCCACGGAGAGGCTAAACTAGATCATTTTCTAACTTACTTGAATTCTTTACACGATAGAATCGAGTTCACCATAGAAAAGGAGAAGGACAAACAACTACCATTTCTGGACGTCCTTTTGACACGATCAGACGAGAGAAAACTGCAACATCAAGAATATCGCAAACCTACTCACACCGATAGGTACCTGAATGCACAATCGCGCCATCACCCTAGTCAAATCCAGGCCGTTGCCAATACTCTGATCTGCAGATCGGTGAGACTTACAGACGAAATCCATAACAAGCGAGAAATGGAAAAAATCACACGAACACTCCGAGACAATAACTATAGGGAGTCTACTATACAAAAGCCAAGAGGACGAACACAAGGACACGGCGAGACTCAACTAAAGAACAGGAAAGGGAAGACATACCTTCAACTACCTTGCCATATGTAAAAGGAGTAACTGATCAAATAGGAAGGATTCTGAAACGACATCAAATCAGAACAACATACAAACCACACAAAACAGTGGGTCAACTAATAGGAAATCCAAAGGACCCTTCTCACCTAGAAAATCAAGGAGTCTATCTAATCCCGTGTAGAGACTGTCCAAAATATTACATAGGACAAACTAACAGAAAAATATCAGCCAGAATCGAAGAACACAAACTGGCTGTAAGCAACAAACAAATGACATCGGCAATCTACCGGCACCACCTGCAGACGGGTCACAGAATTAATTTTGGAGAAAGCAAGGAGATCGCAAACATCACAAAATTCAAACAGAGAACAATAAGGGAAGCGATTGAAATTCAAAAATATGATAACATAAACAACAGAGGTGTTGCCTCAACCCTCCCTGCAGTTTGGAAAGTGGTACTAAAGCACACTAACAGCGTGATTGCACAGCCTATTGTTTCCACCAATAGCGAGGAAGCGCCAACCACCGCGGCGCAATCAAGTCGAACCAATAGCGAGTTAGCACCGCTAGTCGCGGCAACCGTGTCCCCCACTCCGCCGCAGTACAATTTACGGTGGAGGGAACCGCGATTATAAAAAGCGCCGCACCGCACATTTTCACCTCAGTTTAAGTGCGGACATGTACGAGTGACATGGACGCACAGCCTCTGAAGATGCCAAGTGATATTTTGGCGAAACGTCAGGCGAATGATCCTACTCCAGGGTCAAACAACGAAGTCGTACGTGTCCGCACTTAAACTGAGGTGAAAATGTGCGGTGACCTGGGTTTTTCTGTACATTGAGGCCACTATACCTACTATAGATGACGTGAGGACCCACTAAGCCCAAAGCGGTGGACCCAGGTACTGCGCAGGTGAGACAGGTATTGATTCTTGGCGAATTTTAAATATATTTGACCACGGCGTTTTGAAATCTTAAAATACATTATTATTATTATCAAAAAATAATAATGGCAGACCATTAGCATGCGGTTAACATTATGACAGTTTTGGAAATGCTCAAAAAAATAAAATTTTGAAAGTATTTGACCAGATCTGCCATTGAGATATATTATTCGTTATAGTCTTAAAAAGCTTATATTAATAACGGTAGACGTTTTTATTGACTACACTCCTCAGTAGATAACAAAATCTTTACTATTACCCAGTCAGATGTATATGTATTACGATCACTATATGTATAGAAATTAATACTTTTTTTGTACTTTATATGCTAAACTTTATAAGACTGATGATACATGAAGCATATATATTACGCAATAATCTGAAATCTTGGGGTATAATGCAAGTTACAAAAAACCAAAATTTGAAAGGTGTCGGAATCATGTTTGTCGTAGGTTAACTTTTCTTCATCATCCATTGAATCGGACTCTGTAAAAATAAACCGTAAATTGTAAAATATAAATAATTAGTAAATTGATTCGAATTTATTTGATAAAGAATTAATTTTTATCAACTTACCAGGGACATTAGTAATTAAGTCGCTAACAAAAGATGGAAGTTGATATATCCATCGAACCATTTAAAGAAAAATGTGTTGTGCTGCTCAAGCCAAACATACTCTAAGGGGTCCAAAGTTGAAGGTTACTTTGTGTAAGCGTTTTTCCAAATAGTTGAAATGTAATGGGCTCTCAAAAGTTGCTGGTAGAGTTCACTCTTACATGGTGGTATTGAGGTTGCGTCAAAATTTTGTATTTTTTTACTAAAATTTTCATTCACATCCGAAGCTTTGTAACTACTCCCGGTACTACAGAGGGTCTTTACTCCAACAACTGCTCTAATTCAGCGCCAATATCTTTTTCTACGACTTCATCTGTCTCAGAAACGTTTAGGCTTTTTACAAGATTATCAAGTACAGTTATTGACCTATCAGCTAATGTTGATGGTTGCTCAGTTGCAGACAATGACGTAGTGGGTTGTAATACCGCTTCTTTGTTGAGATCGGTTGCATTTTTTTTAAGCCGTTAACGCTTTGTAACAACTACTGTGATATACAGAATCAAAAATTTCGTCCTGTAGAATTATTTCGTTGTATTTTAATTTATAATGTTTCCTTAACCTCAAAATTTGTCGACATTTTTCCATCTCTCTCTCTTTTAAAAATGTCAATAATTTCTCAGTCTTTGCTGTGCCACAAAAAACACGCATCACTAGTTCTTTTTCACTCGACATAATGTCAGAGATATTTAATTCGAATATTAATTCGAATAATAGTTTAATTAAAAGAAAAATAACATCAAGTAACACTGTGTATTTTATTAAATTCACTAAACACGAGGCATCTGTATAGAGATTCACAAACATACTGAAAACATCTGACAAAAACCGTTAGGTTGGGACTATAACAGAGCCATCACAGGTATAAACCCTAAATTATTTAAGTGGTAGTAGCTATAAAATAGAATACTATAAGCTGGAATGAGTAGAATAGTAATACATAGGAGAAAGAAAAGAGATAGCTATATGCAGTGTATGTATACGTCTGTCCGGGTAGTAGTAAAGATTTTGTTATCTACTGAGGAGTGTACTCAACAGAAACATTTGCCGTTATTAATATAAGTTTTTAAGACTATAACGAATTATATATCTCAATGGCAGATCTTGTCAAATACTTTGAAAATTTTATTTTTTTGAGCATTTTCAAAACTGTCTGCCATAATGTTAACCGCATGCTAATGGTCTGCCATTATTATTTTTCGATAATAATAATATCATATTTTAAGATTTCAAAACGACTGCCGTGGTCAAATATATTTAAAATTCGCCAAAAATTACTACATGTCTCACCTGCGCAATACCTGGGTCCACCGCTTTGGGCTTAGTAGGTCTCCACATTATGTATAGTAGGTATAAGAACCTCAATGTACAAAAGCCCAGGTCTGGTCAAATACATGTAGGTAGCCGCCCACTGGCTCTTAGACTATTAGAATAAAGACCACTTGACTTCAAAGGGCTACTGACAACAAATTTTCCAAAATGTTCTCTGCCCTGTCGCTCAAAGAAATGTAAAATGTGTTTGTCCGCTTATTTATCTGTAAAACTTAAATTCAAAATTGTCCACCATGTTAAACGAAACTTATTTAGTTATTTATTTTTAGCGGTTACATAATTTTACAAAACTAAGGTACAGTAAAGTAAAGTTGTTATGTACTAGAAATTGAATAAGGTAAAATGGCTACTATTGCATAAATTTAAACGGCATTTAAATTTTTGAAACCTACCACTAAACCTCAAACCCCTAAGCACAAATGGGCTATGCAAGCGTTAGTTTGCACCTTTAAATCCTCTGACATGAAAAATGTCACATGATATACCGGTTGTCCCGCTTATTTATATATCAAAACTTGAAATCAAATATTGGAATTTTAAATTAATCAATTTACTTATTTGTAAGGGCTATTGTCCGTTATTATTTGTTTATTCGTTCAAAGAAATGAAAACTGAAATTTTTGAAACTACCACAGCTTAAGTGGGTTATGCAAGCCATAGTTTGCACCTCTAAACCCACTGACATGAAAAATGTGGTAACATTTACAAGGCATACCGGTTGTCTCGCTTATTTATATGTCAAAACTTGAAATGAAATGTTGCAATTGTCCAACATATTGAAGGAAACTGATTCATTTATTTACTCACTTATTTATTTTATTTCAACAATTAAACCATTTTACAAAATTAAAGTAAATGAAAAATACGCATTGGAAGTTTTTATATACTAGAGATAGATTAAGCATATAAATTTTTGCAACCTACCACTAAACCTCAAGTCATTGACACGAAAATTGTGGTAACGTTTACATAGTTGTCCCGCTTATTTGTATGTAAAAACTTGAAATTAAATTTTAATATCTTTCGGACGTTAAGCTACCTTCAATTCATATTGATCATAATTGATTTCTTTGAAAATTGTCCTATATTTAGAAAAGTGAAAAAAAAATATTTTCGGAGAATATTTTTCGATAATTTCAAAGGCGAACAATTGTTATAATCTTTTTTTTTTTTCATGAAAAAATGTCAATTTTGATGGATAAAAATTGATGTATTAATCACTTTGGATTCCAAAAGAATATCTAATGTCAAAAGTGACGTTCCAGCTAAATGCCGTTGTTATACATTTGAGATTGATTTTCTTATACAACAAAACCAACTTTAGTGGTTTGTGATAATATTAAAATAAATTAACATTCACAATTTACAACGTCATACTTAAAATTTGTTTTTTTTTAATTAAGGCGGGGTTTCGATTAAAATATATAAATATATATATATATATATATATATATATATATATATATATATATATATATATATATATATATATATATATATATATATATATATATATATATATATATATATATATATATATATATATATATATATATATATATATATATATATATATTAAAAATATATATAAATAAATAGTATATAAAAATAAATAATATATATAAATATATAAATAAAGAAGGCTGCTGCTATTTCCAGTTTGTGGCTCACTCTAACGTTCAACAATTACTGGCTTCCATTTGGTACGAAGGTTTGCCGGGTTTCCGTCGAAAAAACATGGTCCTCCAAGCGTTGGAGATCGTACGCATAGGAATGCTCTTCCCGTTTTTCTCCATTGCCTACATCGTCGCGCCGCACTCTATCATCGGACAGACCATGAGGAAGCCTTTTATAAAGTTCATCTGCCATTCTGCATCTTACTTCACATTCCTATGTAAGAAAGACAGTAAGATAATTAGAAGTTTTATTACAATTGATCCTGTTACAGTTATGTTAATACTGGCCTCACAGCGACAATTATTTTTCAACGGAGATAACGAAGAAATCATTATCCAGAGAGGTGCCAAACCGACTCTGATAGAGTGGATAATCCTCGGCTACGTTAGCGGTTAGTGTTTCCTTAGACATTTCCGTTTTATTTTAAAAATGCATGCAAAATTGGGGGAACTTTGAATCAATTTTTGCTTATGGAAGGTCTTATATGGAGCGAGATCAAACAACTCTGGGACGTCGGGCTCGAAGAATACGTGCGTGATATGTGGAACGTCATCGATTTCATTACCAATTCCTTGTACGTAGCAACGGTGGCGCTGAGGGTGGTGTCTTATTATCAAGTAAGAAATTGTTCTAGAAACAGATTTCGTGTAATTTTTATGACTATGTTACGCAAGCAGAAAGAATATCCGTGTTCCACGTAACCAGTTTCCCGGGGAAATCTTGAGATTATAGGCAAATCATTAGTTTTGACCAACCCTGTATGTTATGGAACTAATTAAGAAATAATATACAGTAGCTCCCAAAGCTATGTTTAAAATTTCAAATATCTAGTAGCTCCAGTGTCGTAGTAATAAAAACTTAATTGACGCTATGTTTTGATTGAAAAATAAATAAAACCTCTAAAGATAACTATGGAAAAGTATTTCGCAAAAAAAAAAAATCAGAAAGTAATAGCGGATCGGAAAATGAAATGGATTACATGACTTTTATTTCAAATTTCAATATTGATGCTACAGTTGCGAAGAAGCGGCAAATTAAAATATTGAACTGAACTCACAGAAAACTGTCACTTTCGTTGCCATTCTCTAACGCTATGTCTATTAGGTTGTTCCACATAAATGTACTCGATAGTTTACAGAGTTCCCCAATGACAGAAGAAATGGTTAAAACTACATTTCTTCAAATTTAATTAATAAATAAAATAATAATAATAAATTTTTTTAATCAAATTGTCTTTAAAATGATGTAGAATAGCGGTATATCTAGTAGTAAGGTTGATGAAGTAATTGTGAAAATCTCGTCTTGAAATATTTGTATGAAATAGTTAGGTTGTTGATATTAATTGTTAAATTATTGTTCCAAGTGTTTAACAGATGCTAAAGCTATTACGCTTAAATAGTGAGTTATTGTTGTATTATTTTTTACAAATAAGGAATAAAGAAAAGAATTTCTTGTAAGTTTTTGTAATGTGTTTAAAAATTCATCAAGGGTATGTGTTTGTTGCATTGTTGAATTCCAATTGGATTCTTGTTTTGCCAGGATTTCATTTGACATTTTCTTTGCTTCAAAAATAATAAAACTATTTGATTCAATTCTGAAAGCTCCTTTTGTGTAATTATATTGATACTTTAGCTCTTATTTTAAAGTTTTCAAACTTTGGCCCCCGTCGAGAGACGGTAATGGAGCGACTAGTTTTAATAAATATTGGGCTCTATGGCTAAAAAATGAAAAATGTGTCATCTCACGAATACTGAAACCTAACCAAATGAGAAAATTAGGGGGCGAGAATAGATGATCCAGCGAGCACTTGGCATGAGGTAGGAAACAAGAACATCGGTACTGCGAGATGGAATATTATAGGTTGATAATTTAAGAAGGCCTATGGTAGTGTATATATTATAATCATTTGTCTCCAAGCTCTCCACAGCTTAAGTTAACAATGTCACCACATGTTGTTGTTAGAAGCATAAAAATTTTTCTTCGAAAACCCAACAATGTTTTTTCACTAATCACACGGTAGAATAGGTAATTGAACAATGTAAATATTTTAGGTCCACCAAAAATCGGAAATTATTTTGAGGAAGGACTGGGACGCCTGGGACCCAATGCTGATTTCCGAAGGCTTGTTTTCAGCCGCAAATATTTTCAGGTATACTTTACGTTTTCCTCTATGAATATCACAAAGACGCTTTTGTTCATTGCGACAGTATTAACTGAACTTTCCTTACAGTTCTCTCAAGTTGGTTTACATATTTTCCGTAAACCCTCACCTGGGTCCTCTTCAGGTGTCTCTGTCACGCATGGTCATGGACATCATGAAATTTTTCTTTTTATACGTACTAGTTCTATTTGCTTTTTCCTGCGGTAAGTAGAAATTGTGTTTTTCCTCAAAATGTTACTCGAGTTATTTTCTTTTTTTTTTGATAGGGCTAAATCAGTTGTTGTGGTATTACGCGGGCGCGGAAAAAGAAAAATGTCCAGATCCAGAGGACAGTTCAAATTCCAGCGGCCCGGGCAGCGACTCCAATGCGTGCACCATTTGGAGGCGGTTCTCAAAGTATGTAACGATTTCGTAAAAAAATTACTCTTAATTGATGCTTCTTGGATGGAAATGTTTCCATAACTGAACTAAGAATGCGTTATTAAACAAATTTTAACTAGACTACTCACTCATGGTCTTTTTTATTCCTTCACACCAGTTCTTTCTTGGTCGTCCTGTCTTTTCTCTTTCCTGTGGAGCCTATTGTAATATCTGTTTTGACAGTCTGCCATCCTGCCTTCTCTGAACATGTAACAGAAATTTCAGTTCTTTTTGCTCTATGTCCCCTGTGACTGTTATCCCATTATTGTCGTTTGATTTACGTGGTCATTTGTTTTATGTTCTATTCTTGAAATCTTAGCAGATTTTCTTATAGCATTCATTTCTGTTGGGAAGATTTTCCTTTTGTCGTTTTCGGTCATTGTTCATATTTCCGAGGCATAAGGCAACACTTTTTATGATGCAGTTATATATACGAATTTTACAAATTCGACTGAGGTGGCTTTTACTTGATGAAAATCTATTTATCAAAATAAATAAGAACTAAAAGTTCAGATTTTCACGAAATCATATATTGTGACATGACAATTGTTTCGACAACACCGTGTGTGAAAATCTGAACTTTTAGTTCTTATTTATTTTTACGAATTTGACTATTCTTTCTTTTTCCTTTTCTATTATTTTTCAAATCTGAGCAACTCTGGTTTGAATTTCTGTGCTGTCCTTTTTTCATTTCAGTGCTTTATTTATTGTATTTTTCTATTAACTTTCTGGCCATATACTCCATGTTTTCTTTACATTGTTCTAAGCGTTGATGTGGCCTACATTTATTGATCCATGCATGCTCTGTGTATATTTTAAACAATCTGGATAATGTTTTGCTTGTTTAGTTTAACTTTTGCTGTACTGTTGTTTGTTGTATTTTGGTTTTTTTGTATAGTTAATTTTTGTGTGTTTTAGGCCTTCCCATAATTTTACGGCTGGCGCTGTGTCGTAGGCCTTAGGCAAATACAAAATGGCAGATGTACCTCCTTTCCAGAAGGCATTATTTGTGTAGGATCTTCCGTTTCTAAGGCCACTATGTTCTTCTACTTCTTTGTCGCGGTACTCTTCTTCAATTAGGCTTCTTATAACTCATACATACAACTGACTGAAAGTGCTAGTAACTGGCAGCCCCTGTAATTGGTGTAGTCTTTTTTGAATTTAAGCCCATTGTGACTAATTTTGCTAGTTTTGATGAATGTTTAAGTGGTCCTTGTTTAAGTTGTTAAAAACTCTAATTCATAAAAAATGCGATCTTACAGTAGACAAAGATGCTTAAGTATGCACTAACATATTTTTATGTAACCTAGTTTAAATTGTCCTATTAGTAAACGTATTTTATACAGGGTTTTCCACCCAACTAGTTCATTGAAAGTTTATTGAGATGTTACTTAGAAACACATTTCAATGTTTGGGATTAAGATAAGTTTTTTATATATTTCTTGTCACTTCCAGTTCAACCAAAAGTTGCTGCAAACTTGCTTATTTGAAGTAGAACACCCGATAAATTATTTGTTTATTTTGTATCCTATACCTATAAATACTCCTTACACAACGTTTCGCGCAGATGTACCACTACATCTATCAAGCGCAGATTAAGTTTGCGGGGTTCCCCAGCAAGTTGCTTAACTAGATCTCCGCTTCAAATTGTCTAGCCACTTGCGGGAAAAACTCCTTCATTTGTAAAGAATTCTGGGCACTTGACAGATATTTTAAAAAACGTAAGATTATATCCTCCAGGCAAGCTTGTTAGTTTTGAAGTGAAAAGTCTGTACACCAACGTGCCCTTGCAATGTGTGCTACCACCGCGGAGAGCGATGGCAGCTTAGGTGCTGTCTGTTCAATTCTTACTTTCAAGTCAAAGATAAGTTTTACGCATATAATGTCCTACCAATGGTCTGCCCTCTTTCTCGGGTGGTGACGAATATATGACCTGTGTTCAAAAAGTAAGATGACTTTTGTAATTGGGCGGGCTACATCTTCGATGTTTTTTTATGTTCACAGTTTCAACCAATTTGCACGTTTTTTTTTTTGAGACAGACGCGTTAGACGTGTTTTATGTGCTCGGCAGTTTTCTGCTATAAAAAAAATGGAACAAAAAATTTGCATAAAATTAGAGAAGTGGCTGAAGACATCGGTATCCCTATTGGCTCGTGCCATGCATAATTTTGAACAAAAAGATCGTCGTAAAAAGCACAGTCATCCCGATGAAAGAACCCAGAATCGCCAACAGCGAAAATAGCACGTCAAGCTCCGCATCACGATAATGCACCTGCTCACTCATGGTTGCTTGTGTCTATCTCTTTTCCTGTTCCCAAAACTCAAGAAGGAGGTTTGGAACGATTGAGGAAATAAAGAAAAAATCGATAGAAGAACTCAAGGCTATATCGGAAACTAGTTACCAGAACTGGTTCGAGGATTGGAAATAACGCTGTCACAAGGGTATTATATCTGGGGATTACTTTGAAGGAACAACATTAATTTTGGTGAATAAATAAATACTTTTGAACACACCTCGTATACATGGAATGATTTGAAACTCGCGCTGTCGATGCGGCAATTGTTAAATTTCTGGTCTGGCATCATCATCTGGAATGGAACCGATAGTCAACTAGATTTCTTTTTCGATCATCTTAAAGCTTTGCGACTGTCTTTTAAATTTAGTTGAAAAGTGTCTCTCTGTCCTTGACCAGCGGTCGCCAACCTGCCGATCGCGAGCTACCGGTAGCTCGTGGAGGCAAGTCTGATAACTCTCAATGATTTTAATTTTAAAAATACAAACTGCAAAAACCAGAGAAGCTTCAAAATTCCACAAAAAAATTGTCCTAATATTAAACATAATGAACAACAACAATAACAAAATTAAGAAAGTGGCTCAACACATTTAAGAAGTTGGCGACCACTGGCCCTGATAATCCCATATTCCCATTATTCCCATTATTTCTACTGAATCATTGTTTATCATCGTCAAGCAAATCTCCTATACCTATGTTTAACCGTTTTTGATATGATGATATAATATTATTATTATTATTTATATAATATTTGACATTGCGAAAAATTTTGGTTTTTGAAAATTTAGCAAAATGTTAAAGTTCACGATTATGTTATTGTTGTTGTCTACTGTCATACAGCGCGTCCAAAATTAGGCCGCTAATATTCACAGTCGCTCAAACCTTAAATGTTATCTATGGGTTACCTAGATAGGGTTACCTATACCTACTCGGAATTACATTTATGGTATCCTATTAGTTAGACTGAATATCTTCCCTTCAAGTATAAAAAAAAACAATTATTACTATTATTATTACTATTTTTGCATTGCTTGGGTTGTACAAAACATGCGTTTTCCTCAATAATAGAGAATTTATATCTATATATTTATATTTTTATAGCTTTATACCAATTTATAGCGACTCAGCTATTTTACTACTTTCTTACATATGAATAGATTCACAGAATTAACCAGGATTAACTCCCACTCTAGGGTATTCGCAGTAAAAGTAAAATGTTCTTTATCAAATTATGATATGTTTAATAAAACCTCATTCCAGAGTTAAGCGATGAGAATAAAATTCATTCAACAACAAAAATAGAAAAAAACAAACATTTTTGATCACTAGAAAAATCGCATGCTGAACAGGAAGTAAAACATCAACGAATGAGATCCCTTTCCACCAGCAGTCAAGAATTTCCTTAACGATAGCTATGCTTCTAGATAGCTTCTATTTTTGGATCATTTTGAAGAACAAAATTGTTCCTAATAGACCAAGAACAATCGACATTTTATAAGAAGAAATAAGATAGACCATATCAAACAAGCCATTCATACAAAATTCAAAATTAGTCAAAAGTGTATCTTACATCATGGAGGTTATGAATAAATAGAGAACTCAGATTTTACCTTTCACCTTCAAAATGTAATAAAATATTGAAATCCTCCTCACTATTTATTTCCCTTATTATTGCTGGATGCTTATTAATTTTTCTCCAATAATAGAGAATTTATTGAATTTAATTCAGTCCCTGGTTATTTTTATTATAATACAATGGTGCCTATTCACATACTTTACTGCTTTCTTATTTATGAATAGATTTATTAAATTACCCACTATTGGGTATTCATAATACAGCATCAGCACACTTTTATACCGTCTACTTGAAACTTTCTTGTATGACTTGTTTTATAAAGTGAATTGTATCTGTGTTCGAAAATTGTAAGTATAATTCAAATTTTCGCATTTATTTTACTTATTTATTTGATTTATGTATTTTTTTGTATATTAGGAAATTTTGGCTTTCGTAAATTACTGATTCAACTACATTATTGATAGTTAATATTAGCAATTTTAAAGTATTTTTATTATCTTTCAACTCAATTATTTTATAGTAAAAAGCGAAATATATTATGTTTTTTAGTATAATGACATTGCTATTATGAATTACGTATTCAAGCAAATTATTGGTAGGTAATTTTTTAAAGTTTTTTTAACGAAAGTTAAGTCAAATTAATTACTGTTTTTTTGGGTTTTGCAGAAAATTTGTGAAGCACCAGCACAAAGGACAAAAATTGCAACAAGGGAAAGCTTACTTTAGTAAACAATATGACATTGCCTTCAGAAAAACCAAAAAACAGCGAACCAATTAAAACATGCAAAAACCCCAATTTTAGATCATTTTTGAAAACATATTTAATAATAATAATATAAAATTTAACGTACTGGCCGGGTCAACTGTAATTTTCTTTTAATTCGCAAGTAATATCTTGTCACTGCAATTAATGTGTGTATCTGTGAATAAAAAACTTTTATTAATTTTTTTGTTTCATTTATATTCAATTATTACTATACTAATTATTAGTTGTTATTTCACAATACAATAATTGCTTTTCCGTAGTCAAGTACATGAAGGGAAAATGTTTAGCCCAACAAATATGCTACTCTCAAAAATCCTAATTATATTAGCACATTATACATAAAATATGTTTAAAATTTAACACAAAATCCCAAAATTGAAATTGAAATAATGACTGAAACTGACAATATTTTAAAAAGGAGTACACTAGGCACTTACCTTAACTCCAAAAATTGAAAGGCGTCTCTAAATTAAATTTCAATAATTAATAAACATACTATGGCAGAAACTTTTGCCGTGAAATAAAGCCTGTGACATTTCACATTGGCGTCGGACCTTTCGGTGTCTAAATATTATCAATCGTTTAGTGTGTTTCGTTTTATCAATAGCGGAATCGCAGTTTCGGAAACAATGGATCCTCAAATGGGCGCTAACGATAAAATAAAACGAATCAAGTAGAGACAATATCCAATTTGTGGGGCCGGCCGTCTTTCTCGACAAAATCCTAAACAATTTATTTCAGCAATCCCTTTCGGCTGATCCGCAAATCTTTTTCCAGCTTATTCGAGACGGTCCAGACTCTCTTCTGGGCGGTGTTCGGCCTAATAGATTTGGAGAGCTTCGAACTAAATGAAATTAAGATCTTCACGCGATTCTGGGGCATGCTCATGTTCGGCACTTATTCTGTGATAAACATCGTCGTCCTATTAAATTTGTTGATTGCGATGATGAACCACTCCTACCAATTGATATCGGTCAGTAAGCAAATGTAAACGGTTCCTTATTATAGGCTATTTCAGAAAGGTGTAGAGTAAGAAAGACCATAGGCGTAGGTATATTTTGTGCAAAAAAAAAATTGAAAGTAGAAAAGTCCAGGCACACCAATAAAAGTGGACTGAACTTAATTAAAAAATTTCTTTATTCACATTGCAATACGCAAAAAAATTATTGTGATGTTATTTATGGGCCATACCTCAGTTATTATTCTAATCGCATCAAAAAATTTATGTCTTAGACTGATTTATGGAAATCGCATAAAAGAAAGCATGAACGAATTGGCTAAACAGCCCAACCGCTGTTTAGGCGTACCGCTCTGCCCAAATCTGCCAGATGGCTGCAACCTGGACGACCGATGGCTGGGCACGCAAGAAGCTTTGGATGTGAATGGATATTGAGCTGAAAAACTGGTTTTTGAACACCGAAAATAAAAGAAAAAAAAGTTGTATCCTCATGAAAACCTCACGCACAGGAGCTTTCCGCTGGAATAGCCGACAGCGTGTTGAATAAATGGCTCAAGAGGGATTTCGCTCTACTGCTCTACTGAGGAAATGACATAAGAAAACTGGCTAGAAATAGTACAGCCAGTCAATAAAGAAGCGCCGAAGCTCGGCTTTTGGGATAATTTTTTATCAGTTAACTTGTGTATTAACTTATGTATTTTTTGTATGATTTATTTTTAATTTTGCCAAAATAAAATTCTTTCCTTTTTACGCAACTTTGGCATACCATTTTCCGTGTTGAGTCACTCTATAGTCCTTTTGCATACCTAATAGGGTTTTGTTACTCTACACCTGCTTGAAATAGACTATAATTCTGACACACATGGGATACGCATTTGGGTTAATATATTGTTGTTGCTAATAGGAACGTGCTGACACAGAATGGAAGTTCGCCAGAAGCAAATTGTGGATAAGCTATTTTGAAGAGGGCGGTACCGTTCCCCCTCCGTTTAACATTATCCCGACCCCTAAAAGTGCCTGGTATGTGATCCAGTGGATGCGCAGAAAATTCTGTGGCTCGAAGTCGGCTAAGAAAGAGCACATGAGAACGATCAGAGTAAGTGGTTTTTTAATGTAATTTATACAAGTTCATTCAAATAAAACGCCACAAACTTAATAAAAAAAAGGTTTACTACATAAACATTGAGTCATATAACAACAGTTACAGATAACACTCACAAATATGGCCGAAAGATAAGGTTTTTACCTTAAAATAGAAAAGTATCAGTATTATAAAAAGCAAAACACTTTATGTACATTTTTTCTCTTATTTCGAATGAGTAGAGGGTATTGAATTGGAACACTAGTATCACACCAACCAAGACTAAATTTATAGCACAAATTACTCAATTATATCAAAACTAAATTTTGATAGTCAGGGTTATTTGAAAAGTTTTTCGTACCTAGTATTTATTTCATAAACTAAACAAAATAAAGCTTTTAAATATTGCATCTCGAAAGAAGTAAATTAATTTTTTCCCATGCCATTGCTCAAGTTGTTTTTTTAAATTTAATGAGGAAAGGATGATAAGTCAATTGCTCACTAACTGTCAACTGTTAACTTTTGACCCAACTTTTATACACTCTCCCTTGAATTTTCAGCATTTGTTTAATAATATTAATAATTAATAATTAAGAAACAAGAAATGGAGTACACATTTTTGACAACAAATATTCTTTTTGGTCATGTATGGCACTTCTAAAAAGATATTGCTTTATTTCTTGCGTCGGTTTGTTATAAATCATACTTGCTGACGTTTCACCAACCATCCTGTATGGCTTCTTCAGAGTTTAACTGAAACTGACTCGTATTCTACTCTGCACCAGCTTATATATTCTTTGAGAGGGGCGGATGATTGATTTCTATGTTTAGTTGCTTGCAGATTTATATGAATTTTCGGATTTTTCTTTGATAGACGAATTAATCACATGCAAGATTTGATGTCCGGTTTTATGATTGAGTTCGGTAACTGCTGATGAGTTTATTTGTCGTATTCTTAAGGTTTTTTCATATTTATTGAACATAGTTGATATTTTTCGTCCAGCCTGTCTAATATATTCTTTGCCGCTATTGCCTAGGAATTTTGTCTTTCAAGGCTCAAAGATGTTGAAAGATTTTTGGTAAATCTGGTTTTAACGTTATGTCTCGTAATAATTTTTGATATGTGGTTTTGAATGTAAGTAACGACAACAGTGGCATGTGTGGGGTTGCTTTCTGATTCATTGCCTTTGGAAGGTTACTTTGAAGTGTATTTTGCGATGGAACGCTTAATATCTCTAATGTGAAAATTAATAGAGAGGAGCAAATGTAAGGCGTTTTAATTCTGGATTCAGTGACTCAAGTTGACATTGTTTTACGGCTCTGGAATCAAGAAAGCTGATAACGGATGATTTTTGACCGGATGTTGATGTAAAAATGCATTAAGTTATCGGTCGGTGTGTGTAGGTTTTTGTAAACCTAATTACCAAACAAAAGGTCTGACCTTCTATTGATCAGAATACCTAAGAATGGGAGAATATTATTAGTTTGCATTTCAATGGTAAAACGTGTGTTGAGGTGTATAGCGTTTAAATAACCAATAGCTGTTCCTCACGTTTGTTCATAAATTTCAACATTACAATAAAAATATGTTCAAGACAAAAATATTTCAATTAAGATTTAGTTCCGGATTCTCGTTTTATATTACATAATGTCGAGAGTTTCAGGAATAGGAGCTTTAGAAATGAGGGATTCTACATCGACGCTAACGACAATATCGTTTGCTTTTTACAAAATTTCTGGATTCCTCCTGCGTCGGTTTTTGCTTAGTCGAAATTGCTGACGTTTCGACAATCATCCTGTTGGCTTCTTCAGAGCTTGACTGAAAACAGTTTTCAGTCAAGCTCTCAGTAGTCTGTGGAAGTTTCTTAAAAAAAAAAAGAGAATATCGTTTATATCTAATTTAATAGTTTTTCATTTTTAAATGAAATGAAAGGAACTAAGCACGAAACTATTAGTTTTCCCTGTAAAGTGTTTTAATATAGAAGCTAGATATTTTGTTAGAGAACATTTTGGAGAACCAATGGTGCTAACAAAAGCTCGAAGGGGTAATCCGAGATTGTGACTCTTAGGGAGTCAATAGAGACGAGGAATGTTAAAGTCATGAGAGGTGGCAGACTTTTTCACGGATTCTGATAGAGAAAATACTTAATGACAGATCTAAGATGACGTAGGATGTTTTTAAGTTGACGATAGGATCCCTCTGTAAGAATATTTTCAGTTTTCAACAATGTCGGTGATAGCTACGGGATCTCCATTATCAGCGGTCATTTTGAATACATTTGAGAAGAAAGTTCTCGAAGGTGTCTAAAATCAAAATATGGGCACGCTACCTTTTGTTATTAGGTCGGTAACATACATTTATCATTGATTTAGAAACTTATAATAATCTCCGATGCTTAGATAATCTTATCAATTGAAGATGAGACCTTATATTGAATTATTCTGTTAGCAGCAAGAGAGGCACACCTACCCGATCCGGCAAAAAAATCATCGGTTATCACCTTTCTTGTTTACAGAGCCGTAAAACTATCTCAACCCGAGTCACTAAAACCAAAATTAAAAGACTGCTGCTCTTTTCTATAATAATTTCTACAAAATACTTCACCACAACCTTCCAATGACAATGAGTCGGAAAGCAACCCCACACTTGCCACTGTTGTTCTTATTTCTATTACATCACTTAATCACATATCAAAAGTCCCTAACAAATATAACTTTAAAACCAGATTAATCACTTGTCCAAAAATATCTCCACATCTTCAACCCATCAAAGACAAAATTCCGTTTGAGATAGCAGGAGTTTACAGGTTTCCATCCATATGAGGCATTGGAGAGATAAAACTAAAAATATCAACCAAGTTTTAAGAACACGAAAGATAATAAACTCACAAGCAGTTGCCGAACACAATTATGAAACCAGACATCAAATCTTATTAGATTGGACTCAAATTCTTGCATGAAATCAATATCAAAGAAAAATTCGAGAATCCATAGAAATATATAAGTAACCAAACAATCTTAACCAATATGGGAATCAGTCATCCTAGACAACATTCGTGCCTCTCTTTAGCTCCGCGCCCCTCAAACAATGTATATGCAGTTACAGAATGCGAGCCACTTTCCATTAAGCTCTAAAGAGGCCAACATGATGATCGGTGAAACGTTAGAAAGTTCGATTCTTTAACAGCTGACGCAGAAGGAAACCAAAAGATGTGTCAATATTAAAGTAACTTGAGAATTTTTTTTTAAAAGAAAAAAATTACGGTAAGGTGATGATGGATCAATGAAGACTTGTTGAATGCTTGGCAAGACAAAAAACACAACAAACATAACCTAAAATCAAAAAAAGCGATTCTCAAACTACGATTACGATTTAATTGTGCTTGACGCATTGCTTAAAATTTCGAAAAGCTTCGAATTCAACGGTTTTTCTAACTTTAAAGTGTGAATCCAGGTTTGTTTATTGCCGTTGGCGACAGAAAGCTCTTTACGCCGTTTGTCATCAGGAATTGACGGCGTGGGTGTTCAAGCAAGCAGAGGATAAATTTTTACATCGCACGGAAAATCGGAAAATCATTTTGAGGAATAGATTTGTTTATCGCTAAATCCAGGTTTAAGGAATTAGTTTCTTCGAGATTAACATTCGGAGAATTCCTTTGTGCTTACACGGTGATTCCAAAGTTGTTTTTTACGGAGTCGTATCCAGGATTTATAGTCCGCTTCAAACTTCATCGTGTTGGCTTTCGACGGCTCTCACCAATAGACTTTAACGATGTTATAAAAATAATAATGATAATAACAATAATAACAATAATAATAATAATAATAATAACAACAAGAAGTGGAACACGACGATATGGCAGAAGAAATTAATGCCACTCTACTTGCTGGCTTGTCCGCCGTAAGCAGGACTATCCGTAGGAGAGGCCACACTGGATGTATACAATGGAGCAGCGAACTGAACTACAACGTTATGCGCGCATTCTACTTTGTCAACCGGTATGATGACAACCCACTTCCAGAATGGAGACACTCACTCCATGTCGAATTCTCTAAACGACACCCGGAACTACAACCAACAGAACAAAACTTAGCCGACAGGAAAAATGTCATCATAAGAAAATCATATCTTACAAAAGTAGAGTTAGAGACTATTAGACGCGGGATTGGCAACATCATATATCAGGAAGAGGTCCTTCAGGAACAACATTCAGGAACACCAGACGGAACTAATGGACATGTCGGATGAAACCAAGCAAACCCAAGCAAACCTAAAATATCGACAAATATCGGATAAATTTAATAGCCTTTTGTCTTACTATGAAGCTACTGACCCTCTAATTCATGCAGTAATACCTATACTCAGGAAAATTGACAAGGCGACTAAGGAGAACATAGCGCTAACCAACGCAGCAGTGAGCAAATATACCACCTCGCACTCTGGAGGAAACCCACCTGGTTACATGTTGTGCAGCTATCACTGTCATCGAGCTGAACGGTCAAGGGACATACGTACCAACGACTAGAGCCCAAATTAATAATAAACCACCAGCTTGGCGAAAGCGACTAGAATTGGATGTAGACAGACTCAGAGGAAAAGCTGATATAACAGATGAATACTTACAAAATAATCAATCTAAAAAGGTCACTAAGAAAATTGCAGTCATTTCCAATGCCGCTGGGATAAACCTTCGGTCAGCACAACATCAACTCTTAGAACTGAAAGACGGGTTCAGGCAACAAGCAAAGGCCATGGGTGCCAGACTTCGAAGATATAATGAGCTCTCTAAAAGGAAAGAACAGAACTCCGAATTTACATCGAATCGGAAAAAATTCTTTAGGAAACTGGAGAGCAAAGAAGAAGACAACAAAGGAACACAAAAGCATAAACCAGACCTTAACGCGTTTGACGTTTACTGGAGGGATATCTGGTCAGGACCAAAGCAGTTCAGAGAGGACGCTGATTGGATAGCTGAAATTGAACAACGCGCACTGGCAATTAATGACTTTAAATCATATAACAGCCGATGATGTTGCTTCGACTATCCGACGGACCAGTAACTGGAAGTCACCGGGATCGGATAGGCTGCATAACTTCTGGATAAAATATTTTCCAGCCTGTTTTCCGCACCTAGCTCAATGTTTTACGGACGTGCTGGACGATCCACTAAAGTTTCCTACTTTCCTCACTGAGGGGAATACCTATATGATATTTAAGGAGAGCGACCCTACCAAACCAAATAACTGCCGCCCGATAACCTGTCTCTCGGTGATATACAAATTGTTTACCTCCATAACTAACAACAAGATATATGAACGCTGCACAACAAACGGAATCCTAGAGGAGGAGCAAAAAGGCTGTATCCGAGGATCAACTGGATGTAAACATCAATTAACCATTGACGCTGTAGTCCTAAAACAGGTTCAAACTAGGAAAAGGAACTTAAATGTATGTTACATTGACTACACCAAAGAATTCGACTCAGTCCCTCATGATTGGCTCATAAAAGTGCTAGAAATATATAACATATGCCCCAAAGTGAGAACTGTGCTTAAATACATGATGGAAAAGTAAACATAACAAGAGGTATATTTCAGGGTGACATTTTATCACCGTTGTGGTTCTGCTTGACAATGAACCCACTGTCAACCCTTCTGAATGACTCCGGCATTGGATATAAAATCAACAATAGAGATAGACAAAAGCTATCTCTATTGTTGCTATTTGCTCTATTTGCTATATATGGACGATCTGAAGCTCTACAGTCAGTGCCAAACGGGACTCCAAGCGCTGATTGAAACAGTGAGGACTTTCTCACAAGACATCTGTATGTCTTTAGGGCTGGACAAATGTACCATTATCAAGATTAACAGAGGGGGTGTTGCAGATGCGGAGGAGCCATATCGCGATATTTATGGCCTGCCACCTCATGAAACATATAAATATTTAGGGATAACTCAAAACCTGCGAATTGACCACTCCCAATTGAAAAAAGTATTTACCGAAAAATACAAGAGCAGGATGACCAAAGTATTAAACATCAAACTGTCAGCCAAGAATCAAGTCACAGCTATCAATTCCTGGGCTATTCCTGTACTCACGTACACTTTTGGGATATTGAAATGGTCCGAATCTGACCTTAACGAGTTAGATAGACTAACCCGCCGTCTGATGACAAAATTCCAATTCTTGCACACAAATTCATCGGTAAAAAGGCTTTATCTTTCCGGAAAAAGCGGAGGCCGAGGTCTAGTGGACATCTACAATCTATGCCGAACGCAAGAAATGAACCTAAGACAACGACTTCTAGAATCGCAGGACCGCTTAATACATTTGATCGCTGAGGAGGACAAAGGGTTCACGCCATAGACGGAAAAAAGTTTAAAAAGTTAACAAGCAACCGAACAATGATGCTTTAAACTTAACCCGAATTCTGAAGATGATCGCTAATAAGTTCGAAACGCAGTACACTCATATGTTCTAGTGAAAAAAATATAACTTTGGTTTACCACCCTGTGTCCAACAGATTTGGAAAATAAATAAAAAAGGTCATTTTAATAGAAACAACTTTTGTATTTAATTTTTTTTGTAACAATCCGTATTTATAATATACTTCTAATATAATCTGTTACTTACCGCAATTTCATTCATCGTATTTTTGCGCTTACTTATTTTTTGATTAAAATAGTCCTCTAGCATAAAAATGTCAACTTCTGATAAATTTGAATTTGAAATTTTGAATCTACTTTTATAAATCCCGGTTCAGGTGAATATATTTCGCGCTTTCTAGCTCTTTATGTTTGAACTTCAAAAAGAAGGAAGCTAAAAGCATAACATTTTTATAGTCTGCTTTAATGGTTTCATGATAAGATAAAATTGCAAAAGAAAATGTTTTTTTTTTGTTTGTTTTGATACTTTATACTGGGAAAATTGACAACTAATTGAGTAACCGTATTAACCCTCATTTATTAACATAACTGAAATAAAGTTTGAGAACTTACTAGTGAAAATCTAATCCAACAGCTATTATATTATGCCTAAATAAAATCTTCATCTTAATCAAGGCAAATCGATAGTTTTTATACTAACCAGCTAGTTTCTAAAGCATTAGCGTATCTTTGCTGTTTTGTATGAAGTAAAATAACCAAATTAGCGGTGACATATACAAACTTTAAGAATCGGTTTTAACTTTAAAATAACAATCAAATCAATTGAATAAAATATCGTCATTTTGTTTTCAAAAGTTATTATTAAATTTGCTGGGTTATTGATTAGCTAGGCACGCCATATGCAAATCAAAATGAAGAATCGAAAAATTAACATTTTGTTTTATTTACAGCGCAAAGTGAAGCAAGCAAGTGAACGCGACTTTAGGTATCAGGTGAGTTAGTCAGACTTCGTAGATTATCATAAATCTGTAGTATTTCGAGCTTCTCCTTTATGCACCCTTTTTTTGTTAAAGAACTCAAAACAACGCTTATTAATAACTTGAGCACAATATTATGCAGAAATCTTCTCGATTCCTCCTATTCCGGTTGTTGGCTAATCGAACTTGCTGACGTTTCGCCATTGACCCTGTTGACTTATTCAGAGCTAAATTGAAAGTGGCTCGCATTCTACTGATGAGTTTATTTATCGTAGTCTTAAGATTATTTCATGGACATATGGACTCAAATCTTTACCTTTCACCAATATGGGAATCAGTCATCTTAAGCTCCGCCCCCCTCAAACAATATATAAGCAGATACAGTTAAGTCCTGAAGATGTCAGGGTCATTGGCGAAACGTCAGCGAGTATTCATCGACAACCGACGCAAGAGGAATCGAGAAGATTTGTAAACAGTAGCTGTGAAAAAGAAAAATACTCGTACACATTGTGAAAGGGTGAGGATCAAAAATTGTTTTATTTATATTTATAATTGATTTTTCTATTAAATCATTTTTTGTACGTTTTAGCGTTTAGGTCATTTTGTCCGGCTTTTTTTGCGATAATCCTCACTTAATCCAAATATGGAATTAAAATTCACGTCCTCCAATGGCCGAAAAAACGTATTCTTTAAGTTTTTTATGTATTTTGCAGCATGAGTTTGTGAGAAAAAAAATATTTGGGGCCTCGTCGATTATATGAAATTACAAACGGAAATGATTGATACTTAAAAAAAGAACTAGAAGAGAAGAAAGTTGCAGATATTATATTTATATGATTATTTTTATCTTAAAATTAAGACACGACTTTTTTCCATGTCTCCATTGTTTTAACGAACACGCTTTTCACAAGCGTCTCGGAAGGAAATTGTAAAATTATTTCGGCCCTAAAGCAATATGTATTTTTCGTAAAACTCCGTCGATATACTTATATTTTGTGTACAGAGCATAATGAGAAATCTGGTGCGGAGATACGTCACTGTGGAACAGAGAAAAGCGGAGAATCAGGGCGTGACAGAAGACGATGTGAACGAAATTAAACAAGACATATCGGCATTTCGATTCGAACTCATCGAAATACTGAAGAATTCCGGAATGAATACGTCGACAGCTCACAGCGGCATGGGTAAAAGAAATTTCCATTTTTTTCGTTTCGGCGAATTTAACTAGACGATTTCATTGAATATCAACAAGAGACATAAACACAATGTTGCATTTCCAAACCAATTTTTACTTATTTGATATAACAACTAACAAAAGTTTGCTGCTATATATTATTTGTCAACATTTGTTGTTTATTTCAATTACACTTTAAAAAATGTTTTTAAGGTCTGTAGTATCTTTTGCATCAATATTTTTTGAAAAATTTTTCACTGTTACCATTAACTGCAACCGCCTTTTTACTTTAAAACGACATCTATCCAATTTGAAATACTGTGCTCTAACTCTTTACTAATATTCTGAACGAAAATAATTCCAAAGTTTCAGATGTCATTCTGGAATGGGGCGGACCGGAGACGATCTGGAGAGATATGCTTTTTTCACCATAACCCCCCAATGCTATTTGAAAGTCATTTAAAAAACGGAATAATCATCCTGTTGAAAAATGAATCCTTTTTCTGGTAGTTAGATAATTTCAATGGGCGGCAGCAATTGTTTTTGTAAGATACAGGAAACTTTTTTTTTGAACTCTCTGTGTGATATTACTGTCTTGGCAATCGCATAATCCTGTTTCTTCAATGACACACGTAAACTTAATACCTAGATTCGCCACTCCAAATAACTGAATTTCATTGCACTGGTATCCAATTTTTTGTTCACTTATTCGTAAAAGTTGATTATGTTTTCTGTTTACAAAGAAAAGTAGCGTTTCTGACTCCTAAAATAAAAATTGGATATTCTTGTAATAAATTCTACTTCGTTTTGCTCCTTTGTTACAATATTCTCAAACAAGTAGCTTTTGAAACTCGTCTATCAATCGCATGTGGTCACTTCTTTTGGTAGTTGAGTAAATCGAATATACGACAGTAATTGTTCTTGTAAAATTAGAGTATTGCCGAGTTTCATTGCCATCAATAAGAAGAAGATGTCCAAATCCTTGTCAGGACATCTTTCTTCATGCCATTACACATATAGAAAACTTAACTTTCTTTTTGGGACAACCTGTGTGATATCCGTCTCCTGATCTTAGGATAATTCTGATTCGTGAATCACCCGCGCAAACTTCAAACTTGGATTCTCCACTCCAAGTAACTAAATCCCAATTTTTGGATAATTTGCTCCATTTTTACAGAAAGAAGTTGGGATATTCCGGTAATGAACTCGACAAACAACTTAATCCCAATATTTTCGTTCTTGTGAAATTCGTGACCATTTTGCAGCTGAATATTTCCGTTTTGTTTAAACAGTGTGATAATGTTCTGTCCTCGAGGGGCCCTTTTTTTGTACATTATTCGAAGAGTTCTTTCCAGAGTTTTCTTGTTAGACAAACAAATTATTATTATTGATTCTTTTTCCACGGTCTGCTTAAAATAATTTATAATACAATTGCAATATTTATTATTTGTTAGAACCACATATTCTTAAATTAATTTAATTGCTCTTGTTTGAGTTATTTTGAATAATTAAAAATCAATCCAGAAATTCAACATCTCTTGGGCCAATTCATATGCGACTGGGCTTGAATATATTGCTCACTTGTGCTTACAAAAATTTATCGTCATCCAAATTAAAGGCACAGGAGGCAAGAAGAATCGGCAAAAAGAGCGGCGGTTGATGAAGGGCTTCAACATTGCGCCGCAACCTTCGGCTACCTCAACATCCCTCCCTCCCGTAGCCGAATTCATAGCCTCACTCCAAGGACACCACAATCCCAACCACCACGAATTTTTCGGATCCACCTTCTCCGGTATCTTCAACTCGGTACCCAGAAAGCTTCACCACCACAGCAGTACGGTATCGTCATCGCAAGGCAGTATTAACGAGAGTCATAACAGAGATCACCGAGGTCTAGGAAGGTTCGGTGTCCCTACGTACAGATTAAGCACGAAAATGGATGTTATATTGTTTAGGCTTCACCTCAAACGAGGCCACATGCACAAAAGACGGTGGGGCACTTTGATAGAGGCAGCAAAAACCGCGAAGATGTCACGTCTCATAGGAAGGTCCCGTTCGGAAGACTCGGTGTGCAACAATTGTCACGAAAGTGGACATAACCATTCCCACAGCCATAGCAACAGTCCAGCATCCGAAGAGAATGGTGAGTATCTTAAGTTCAAATTTGTAAAGATTGTTTCGGGAAGGTGTATGCATAATAAAATCTCATTAAGTTAGAAAATTTGAAAAGAAAACTTAAACCACCGCATTTTACAATCAGATTTTATAATGATAATAATAGACGGAGTTGCAAATAAAATAAAACAAAACGAGTAAAAATTATTAAAAGAAAGATATTAGCAACAATAGTGTGCCAAGATAAGGTGCCATACCTACACTTAGACTAAATTTTGATAAATTTTGAGTTACGACCACGACTTCGGTAGAGTCCGATGATTTAGTAAAGATTACGTTGACGTCATTTTTTCCTGCGCGAACGCGATTATTTCTCATTGTCTCTCTCAAGCTGTGGTAAGTTCCTCTAGCAGCGGAATGACCCATAAGAGAATACATTAAAACGTCAATAACATGAACTAATAATGCGATGTTTGTATGTTTTTTTTTTTAATTTTACAAGCATTAAAATAATGCCTCAAAACTTACTGAAAAAGGTCTGTTTTTAAAGAAGTTAAATACAAATGAAAACACATAAATTTATTGTTGTAGGCAGTAGTAATTTTGTCGTTAGCAATAAAACCCTTTTTTTTTCGAGCTTTTGTTTATTTGTTTAGTAACACATTATAAATAATTCAAACAAAAGATTTTTTTTTTAAGTTGTTACATGACAAAACTACAGGCATAATAAAAAATATAATTTTTGAGGTTGAGGATTTATAATTATCACTTGGTATTTTCCCCGGTTACTAAAAAGTGATTCTTTATTAGTCCACGTCTCATCAAAATCACGATAAAAGATTTTCTTCTCCTCTCAATTAAAGTTTAACTCATTTCCCTTCCCTCCGTTATAATGGAATAACTAGCGGCAATATATCAGGTAAAAGTATTATTCTACATTTTTCTGAAATAGCCAATAACATTCCAGCTTCCATAAGTCCGTCGGACTCGAATCGCAGTATCGAAGCGAATGTCAATAACCCGGAGCCGGAGCTCCACGGCTTGGCTCACGGACTCGCGTTGCTAAAGAAGAAGCGAAAAAAATTCTCGGCTTCCAGAAACACCAGTCCTATAGTAGTCCCTTCTAGTAACATAAACGAAACTTTTACGAAGAAATTTGCGTCCACCAAGGTAATCCCCTCGATTATGGAGTCCGCATAGCTCTATTAGTCATTCGCTAGATACCGCAAGTGCTGAAGAGGGCTTCCAGCGTTCCCACGCGTGTACCAGAAGTTACCCAGACCGGCGGACATAACAAAACTCAGTCCCAACAAGATTCCGTCGAGCTGCCTCCTCCGGCCCATGGCCTGACGCCTTCGACGACGGAGGAGAGCGTCGCTGCCGCCAGTCAGAATATCCATTCCGGTAACACTTCATCCAGGGACCTTTTGCTGTACAATTCGTCGTCGAGCAACCAAGCTACCGGGTCCACACAAACTCCCGACGACGAATTTAAGAACAATTATCCGTCTCTGCCTAAACTGCCTGGTATTATCCCCATTGGAGGTAACACTAACGGTGGGTGGTTGTAAAACAGGCCTAAACGCGCGTTTAATCGATATTATCAGACCCGGTTTGGGATTCTATCGATTACATATCGTGTAGTTCCGGATGGGGTTTAGATGTGCTAAGCTTGTCCGCTCTTCTAGGGAATGTTTAGAGCGTGTTTAGTGGTGGTTAAATGGGTTTATATGGATTTGCTTGATAACTAGACATTCTAATGTGAAGAAGAAAGTTTAAGTTTGTTATAAATTCAGCTTGATAATTGGGACTTGATCCAACTAACATTTATATGTTTTAAACTGATATCACGTATAAAGATAATGGCCCCATATTTATTTTTAACTGAGAGTAAGTTTTACAACACCTCGGAAATAACGTTAGAATATTTTTAGAGGTGATTCTGTATGAAAAACTAGAATATTTTTTATATGAACACAAATCCATAGTTTTCAAGATACAACCCAAATTTATATTAAAAAAAAGTCAAAACTAACCTGATTTTTGTATGTAAATGTTACATATGTATCAAAAATTTAGATACTAATGTTTTTTTACCACCAATTTTTATAACTACGGAGCCAAATAAGGACGAAAATATATATATTAAGGAAACTTCAAACTAACTTAAATTACTAAAATACCAAACTATCGGCTATTCTTCTTCTTCTTAGAGTGTATACGTTTCCCTTAATTGCAGCATTGTCGAAATTTTGAAAATTGTGAATTCCTGTCCATTGCCTAATATTCCGTAACCGCTACAGTTTCTTTCTTCCTATTCCCCTTTTTCCTCCTTCGATCTTATATTGGAATTCATTCTTCTCTCTTAATATGTCCCAAGTGGGATATTTTTCTACACCTTAAATTATTCGAACGCTAATTCTGGACAATCTTTATATTATAAACGGTCTATGGTGTTTATAAAAAACAAATGAAAATAGCCCTTTCTCTCTTGACATATCTCTATATCATTTATTTACACTACATTTCATTTTGAGTCCTTGTCATTTTATTTGGTTTTGCCTCAAAGTTGACAGCAATGGATTTTTACTTTTCACATTATTATTAACATGTATTATTATATATACAGGATTATTTGCGGTGAGTGGAGGATGACTTACGGTAAAAACCTGAAACGTTGGTTACTTAGTTAAGCGAATATGAGCTATCTACGTAACGTATATCAACTTTCGTTTTTTGAATGGCATACCCTGTATATTATTGCATTTTTCGATTCTGGGAAACATTCTGACACTTCTTCATGCACTTATCTTGAACATTTTCGGAAATAAAAAATACTTGTTAAAAAATTTGGCAACAAACAACCCGATATAAAATAATAATTTTATTCACAACCCGTACAGATCAACACTTCAATTTTTTTTTATTAAATTGCTTTATCATAATATAGTATGGTTATTAGCTTATCGCGTGAAGGGCGTTCATAAGACAAGGCCCAGTTGGTAAGATATAAAAATCCATGTTACGTGGGAATTTATTATGAAACAATTCTTTGACCCTCACCATAAATGTAAAACAAATTGAAAATATCTGCTTTTGGATAATTATGTGCCATCTTGCTTTCTCAAATAAATGCAACTTTTAAGTATTAAAATGCGATAAAATGAGAAATCCGATTGCATCAATTATTTTTTATCACAGGAAACCTCCAATGGCCGACCAGAGCCTACTACCCAGATAAAACGTGTTTCCTTAATTCGTTTTAATTGTAATATTTTAAAATATATATACCATAATTTGGTACTTTTAAATTGCATTTATTATGATGAAGCAATTTAATAGAAAACCACAACCAAAAATTCACGTGTTTAGCTTTATGGGTTGGGAAGACAATTAATATTTTATATCGGGAAGCTTGTTACCACATTTCTTAAAAAGTGTTTTTTATGCCCTGAAATGTTTAATGTTAAATGTTAAAAACTAAAACAAATCGACAGACAGGATAGAAATTCAGTTCCGAAACATTTTAAATTTAAAAAATATATACCACCATGCAACACGATCTATAAGAATCTATAGGTATCTTGCTATTTTAGCGCTAGTAAGTATTTTAGATTTTATTTCATTTTTTAAAATTTCTATCCGTTTTTTCACAAATTGCGAATATTTCTACGAAACCATCTATATACGATAAAGCAACTTTTTTTACTTTTATTATTAAATCTTAATTGTTTATAATTAAAAAAAAAAATAAAAACGGAACATTTGACTGGTAAATACTAAAGGGCAGCGCATGAATTATTTTTGTAAGAACTCGAGATTAAATTTTAATCCGCTTGTACATGTTCCGCAATTTTCCTCTTTGAAATTCCATTGTAACCGCGTGTGTCCATTATTGTATTTTACAAATCATATTTATGTATGTTCGTACCAGAAAATGAATGCATGACCTAAATTTTTTAAAAGCGCTAATTTTACGTAATTAATCTTAGGCGGTAGATTGCAACATTTTGTATCGTTTTTAAATAGATATAAATTTTTCCACAAATGGACCATGAAACGTAAGTCGTTTTAAACTGCAGGGTCTTAACAAAGCCTGTTGCCAAACATCGCGTTCCTTGCATGTTGCATTGTTAAATATACAAAAAAAAAGTTTTTTTAAACTTGACAGTATTAAGTATAAACAACATTCCGGACCTATGATTATGCGGGGTGTTTAACAAACAAGAGCGAAACATTTTTGGGGGTGATTTCTTGTTCCAAATCAAGGGAAGATTATTATATCAAAAGCCAACGCTCAGCAAGATATCGCCCTACAGGAAAAACTATTTTTTAAAAGCTTTATTTAGAAAATTTTCGTTTTCTGCAGTAATGTCATCAAAAATTTAAAATATCAAATGTAAGGTGTGTTGAAAAAAAACATTTTAAAAATAACGTATTAATATATATTTCTGAAACTAGTATATATATATATATATATATATATATATATATATATATATATATATATATATATATATATATATATATATATATATTCTCACGTATTGATTCACGGATGGAAAAATGTGATGACACTATACTCCGGGATATCATCCGTTCGCTCGTTGAACTCCGACTGGAATCCTGCATCCGACTGGAATCCTGCAAATCCTGCATCCGACTGGAATCCTGCAGACGTTTCGCCAAAATCTCACTTGGCATCTTCAATGCTCGCGCTCCGAAAGTGTTCGAAGTGTTTTCGGAGCGCGAGCATTCAAGATGCCAAGTGAGATTTTGGCGAAACGTCTGCAGGATTCCAGTCGGATGCAGGATTTGCAGGATTCCAGTCGGAGTTCAACGAGCGAACGGATGATATCCCGGAGTATAGTATCATCATATATATATATATATATATATATATATATATATATATATATATATATATATATATATATATATATATATATATATATATATATATATATATATATATATATATATATATATATATATATATATATATATATATATATATATATATATATATATATATATATATATATATATATATATATATATGTGTATATATATATATATATATATATTCATGCCTGATTCATGCCTGATTCATGCATAAACTATGAATAACTTCTTTTAAAACATTTTATTTTTTACAAATCTTCTCGATTGTTCCTGCTTCGGTTGTTTATAAATCAAACTTTCTAACGTATCGAAAATCATCCTGTTGGCTTTTTCAAAGCTTAATTGAAACTGGCTCTCATTCTACTGTGCGTTCGGCCACGACTGACGAGTTTATTTGTCGTAGTGTTAAGGCAATTTTCTGCTAGTTGATATGGGAATGAGTCATCAAACATGGTCCATCTTTAGCTCCTCCCCACTCAAACAATATATAACCAGATATAGCAAGTATTCATCTACAACCGACGCAGAAGGAATGAAGGAATCCAGAAGACTTATAAACAGTACTACAGTAGCATGTGAAAAAAGGTATTTGCTAAAACCTTTGTAAACGGTTTAAAACTAAAAGTATGCAATTATAACCTGTCTTCGGTTGTTGTTTATCTATTTGTTCTAAAAAAAAGGTGATTAGTTTTTTGATAAAGTTTAGAATTAAACCGCAAATGAGCATTTAAAAATTGTGGAAATAAAAGAAGTTGGGACAACTTCACTGTGGTTGACAAGTGCATAGCAAATCAACGGGGTGCTTTTTTGGCCCCCCAAAAAACGAAAACAAGTTGTTTTGAGACCCAAAACTGCTTCATCTTTAAAAAAAGGCATAAGGCTTTAGGATCTATAATTTATAACACCATTATTAGAAATGTCAAGAATGCTATAAAAGTTTTTTATCAAAGCTAAGGTAACAGGGATCAAACGTTTTATAGACAACGGTTTTATACGTAACGGAAGCTTTTTGCATGGAATATTATTCTTACAAAACTTGTAAAACCAATGTTTTTTTTATAAAAGCTAAGGTTGCATATAAATCCATTATAAATAAAACCTTAAGCTGCGAAAAAGGTTAGTTAGAAACGTCTCGTGTACAATTATGTCATGTATCTGCACTCTCCTTGCTGAATAACAGGACGCAGGACGAATTAACCAGAAATGGAAAACAACATTTAAATTTGCTACCTTGACTATTTAAGTGCGATTAAGTTTCTTAAATTTGATTTTGTTTTCTAAAATTTTTATTCAACCACAATATCTGCCATGTCAGTATTAATATAATTCACCATTATTTCATTATTATCAGTTTTTATTAAATAATTCGGATTTTATATTCCAAAAATTGCAGGAAACAAAAAGTTTCTAATTAAAACATAAAATATACAGAATTTTATTTTATTTTATATTGTTCTATTTATTTCCATTTTTAAGATAAAAAATAATAACATAATTTTTACGCTATATTTGTTGGGCGATATCTCCCCGATGGTTGGCTTTTCACTCAACATTTACATAACAAGCCACCCTTTATTTAAAAAAAAATATTTCTGCATTTGCTTTGAAGCACCCTATACGTGGTGTCTTGGAATCATATCCAACAAGTTTGGTGACGTACTTCGGTAACACCCTGTATATAAAAAATGCCTAAATAAATATATATTAGATCAATTATTTATATCCGTAGTTCTTATATCATATTACGTAGTCCTTAATGGTTTGTACATAATGTTTGACATGAGGCCTTCAACTGTAATATGAATTACTGAAAACATCTCATATTTATTGTATGTCATTCATTGGCAGTTTACGTGTGCATATATACCAGTGGACAAATAAACTATTTCGCCAAAATTCATTGTGCTTTATTTAATATCGATTCCATTGGAGAACAGTTTCAAATCATACATTTTAAAGAAAAAGCGCCGTTACTTTAATTTTTGTTTGTTTTTAGGTAAAAACATTGAAATTTTATACGAAATATACCCTCCAATCGCAATTCTATAAATGTTTCATACTAAGTTTGTATCGATAGTTATTTAACAAATCAGTTTCGACCAATGTAGTAAAGTTTTATATTAGAATCAACCGTGAACATGAACTAATTACTTTCTAATAATTACTACTAATAATCCGGTATAATTAGATATAGAAATAGTAATCAAATAATAAAATATCCAACAGCGCTGGATTTTGGATGACAAAATGAAAATTTTCGTTTTTTTTTTCTAAAATGCAAAGTTTTATCAAAAACTATTTCGGATATAAATTACAGGCATCTAGGCATCGCATTTTATAAGATTATTCGTATATTTTTGTTAGTAATGCTGTTTCATATTTCAATCATTTCACTAAGCCTTAACGCATTTTAATAATCGTGAAGATATTAAAAAAGGATTTACCTAGACTATTAATCGTGCTGTGTATGACGCGATTGCTGCCTGATGTAATTGTATAAAAAATAATTTTCTAGAATTTAAATAAATGCAACGACATGAGTTTGCTTAAGCCATCAGAGAGTCAAATAAGGAGCCAATAACCCAGTGAAAACTGCATCTCAATACTTTTATACTAATCTAAAATATGAATAAAAGCACACTAATAAAATATGAATTTTGGGAAACATTTTCACTTTGTAAGCTATTTATTATTGTCTTTATTGCTATATTCATTTACAATTCTTTCAAAGGGCACCATATTGCAGAAGGCGTTAAATATAACCATAATCCAATGTTGTCTGATCTATTTGGTCTATTTGCCGCCAAATATTTTGTTAGTTTTGGTTAGTTTTGGTTAGTTTCTGTTATTCTGTCGTTGAGGGTGGGTAGGACACGAGAGCATAACAGAAACTAACCAAAACTAACCAAATACTTGCCGGCAACTAGAGCCGACAACATTGTGTTAAGGTCCAACATTCAAGGCCTCTCAAAGATCACGTTTTGACATGCTTCAATGCGTTTGAATTCTACATCTAGATGGTTATTACATCGCCCAAGAATATGCATGCGCACTTCGTTGAATTTAAAGGTTTGTTCTCTTTTTACTTTAATTTTTATTTTTTACTTTTATATGTAGAGAAAGTGGGGAGAAATTTTGAATATAATTTGGAATATCTTACGAATAAATATCCAATAAACAACCCACTCTAATCTGAAAAGTTTAGCTATAGTATGTTAAACCGATCAAAAAAGTTAAATTCAGGTGAGATTTATGTAAAAAAAATATGGACAAATTAAGTTTTGCATCAGACTTCATGGAATACGGGCCCCTAGTAAAACAAGTGAAGATAATTAACAGTTTTATATAATGATTTTGTTAACAAAAAAACTGAAAATATCAAACCAAGAACTAAACATTATTTGCAAAAGTCACAAATATATGAATTTTTTTTTCGGCGCCGAAATATTGTCCGTGAGTTCATTGATTGCACATAAAGCATTGAATCCATAACTCTACTTTCTGGTGATCAGAAATTGACCATCACAAAATAGGCATGCTGCATCATTATCATCATTAACAAAATGTCGTCCATATTCTTCTTCTATTCTCAGAATCTCTGGCCTCATTGTCTTTTGCTTGATTCCTTTGGTCGTCCTTGTATTTGAAAAGACTTGTCGTTTGGTACATGCTATCTTAGGACTGCTGATGGTGGATACCTCTAAATCATTTTTATAAAGTGAAAGGGTTTTGGATTTTGGATTTGTTGGATTTTCTTCTCCGAGTGGTATTTTTTGCGATGGAAGGTAAGAGTGAAATGTCACTTGGAACAGATGATTCTGGGATACCATGCTGGAGATATGTTTTTTCAACCGGAATTTGTTAAGATAAAAATCTGCATCTGAGAAAATGTGACAATTGAAGGGGTAAATTCCCGCCTCCTTAAAACCAGTAGCAGCTATTTCATCACACTGTGATTTTAAAAGTAATAATTGAAATATGATTTTCACGAAGTAGAAGTAGAAATAGAAGAATAATTTTCAAGTTTCGCGTGTGGCTTTTGTTGGTTTGAGAAAACAGATTCTGTTGCACCCACCAACTTGGATGTGCTGCGTAAATCGAATCAAGGGGGCGTCTAACCAACTGCGTCCCGCTACACTATTTTTAAATGAATGAGTAATTCCATTATGAACTGCTAAAATATATGCCGTTTTCCGAAGATCCGTTCTCGTAAGACCATAGTAAATAGCTTCCATTGAAAAAATATATTGAATAAGTTCTTCATCTATTACATTTAAATTAATTCGTATTTGTCTTTCCAACAATCTTTGAAGTGTAATTCGTGGCACGCTGAACTGTTTGCTGGCAATTTTAAAACTCATTAGTTTATTATTAACAACGTAGCTTTAATCATATCTTCACGTGTCCATGTTTATCCTAAGCTCTTTGATATAAACTTCGGATACGAGGTGCGCGCTATTGGCCCATATTAACAACATTTCACCTGATTATAAAAAAGCATCTTATTTCTCTTCCACTGAGTATTTAGGGTAACAAAGGGGCAATTGCGACAAATTAGTTGCGGTAAATTGAAGAGGCAAGCCTTGGAAACAAATTAAAATAGTGAATTTGCCAGTAATACATTTATAAAATGAAAAACATAAACAAAACTCTGTAAAATCGGCAGTACACGAAGGTACTGGATAATTCCGAACATAAAAAAATATTCAACGAACGTAAGAAAACAGTGTATAATTTTTTTTAAGTGATATTTCTTTACCAAGTGCCCGCAAATATTTTTTTTGCTGCTTTTTCTACTACACAACTTATGGACCCAGCCTCCACAGGATACCCCCCCAATACCAAATTTCATTCTTGCGATATTCTCGACAAACTAAGCAAAGTTCCCCTTCAATCTCATTAAAGATATTCCGGGGATCTACATCTACATCTTCGTCATCATTTTTCATCAATTTCATCGTCACTGGATGTTTCAAAAACTTTTTTTGCTGCCTTTTTGTTATTCGTAGTTTAACAATTTTTTCGACAACGCTTTTGCAAAGGTGCTTCTTTTGCGGCTCTTTTTCGCTATTTTTCTTCCAATAAAGACAGTTGATTTAGTTGGTATTAGAATAAATAATATCTTCAAATGAAGTGTTAATTCTGTTATCGTTTTCATTGAGATAACTAGCAGGTACATGGTCAGAAAAAGTGGACACAGCTTGAGATGTTACCCATGACACAGTAGTGCATGATTGTTATTGTGGGCACAGAAGTTGCTTCATCAATTTGGTTGAGACTGCGCGCATAAACGCAAATGTTTTTTAGTCTATATTTAGTCTATTTAGTTCATATTAGCGTTTCATTATGTAATTCGCACAAATGCAGGGATCATATTCGGACCACTTCCTCTACTATATAAAAGCCGACTCTAAAGCCATAACGTCAACTGCACTTATATTTTCTTTTTATTATTATGTTAAATATTTATTTCTATTTTCGGAGGGCAACATTAGCATGACAAATTAACTTTAATCTATTATACGCTTTGATTCGCCATTCAGCCTACTTTATTTTCTTAACCGTGAATAACCGATAATACGTAAAATTCGTATTAATTCGACGATACGATCGATAGAAATTGAGAATGCGCAATCAGCGCACCGTTCCGGCCAATGAACGGAGACAATGTTGGAAAACTCGCGGTCGATTTGTTGCATTTGGCAAAGTGACGTGACGTGACGTTTTGTTTAAAGATTAATCCCTGTTGCTTAGATCGAAATTAGGCGATTATTCAATCGCGGGGGTGGTTTTCCATTCCGTTCTACTAGCTGTTTCCTTCTTTCGCTGCGGTTGCGTCCAATACGTAATCGGGAGTATGAAACCTGTCATTTTTGCTTTATGGGTATGCCTAGGCGTTTATTTTGAGGTAATTTTCGGGTTTGATTTGTCCGAAAATGAGATCGATCATCACGAGGGCCACAACCATCCGAACCTAAAGTCTCCAGCAAGCGAATTACCACGTAAGTACCTACACTGTTTTATTTAATGCTACGACAATACCGAATGTATAAAAATAGGAAAATCTAATTAGAAAATTGTATTATTTTAATTTTTTCCCAACAAACTTTTGAACAATTTTTATGGGTCCTCTTTGGGATTATGGAAATAAGAGATGATTTTATTTGTTTGCTAAATATACTCGATTGATCAAAGTAGGAAAAAATATGCAGTGCGTCCCACTTAAGAACTCGTCATCCTTGTAAAATCTTTGTTTGTGATTCGATTTTGATAAAGAAATTTATTGGATAGATCTCTTAAAACTGTGTTAAAACCTTGTTCTACTTATTGCTTCAACTTAAAGTACTGACCAACTGGAACTATTTAACAAAAGATAGACAAGAGAGAAGTACTTTGGGATTTAAAAAACAATCATTTGGCAACGAATTCTTATTTAGGAGTACTTGTAACCCAACTATACCAATTTCTATAATGTTTCATTTCAAATGTTTGAAATATCATTTGTGCCCCGCTTAAGGCTGTACACCTTTGTTTGATTTTTATTTAATAATTTTCTTTTTTGTTGGATAGATCACTCACTACACACGCACTAAAACCTATGTTTCTTATTACATAAACCTGAAGCCAACTGGGACTAATTTTGTCAAACATCGAGAAGGGCTATTAGGGATTTCTTTACGAATAACGTATCAACGAATTCTTATTCAAGACTGCATAAGAAATAACTATACTAATTTCTATGAAGTTCGAATACAGGGTGCTCGAAATATCGCAGCCGCCTCGCTTACTCCTGCACTGAAACGGTTTTTCTCATATAGCATCGACTGAAGTAGTGACTAACTGAACTAAATTTTTAGAGATTTTTTTCAAATTGAAAATGACAACGGATATTCAGGACTACCTAAAGGTAACTAAACCAATGACCAGAGCTTTTAATGTTTTGTGCTCGGGGCAAGTTCGACGCGGGTAACGCGGAGGAGTTTCGCATGCATTATAGACGAAACCTTAAGCTCCCTCGATACAGTTTACGATACTGTTTAAACCAAATTATCCCATATAGCTTTTCATTTACGGCTAATAATTTAAATAAAGGTGGATCTCCCACGGTTCCTGGTCCAAGAATTTTTTCAATAGAGCAAATGGTTTTGGAGAAAATATTTTTTTTTTCTGAAACTATGCAATACGCTGTAATAGTCTAGACTGAGCCCCAGGAATAATTATTTTCAAATGTATTTTCTCAAATATCTCAAGCAGCGTATGATAGACAAAAACCGTAAATACAACAAATGGTGCGGAATATAGTCCTTCTTAGAGCAATTAGCCATACTTTTTACGAATTTTGATTTACGGCTAATAATTTACTTTGGAAAAAAACAGGGTCTTTTAGATGTTGGTCCATAATTGAAAAATCCTTTATATAATAAAAAAAAACCTAAAAATCTTCCACAGTTTCTGGTTCAAGATTTTGCCGATCGGGTTAATCGTTTTCAAGAAAATATTTTTTTCGGGGAGACAAAATAAGCCAATAAAAAAATTAAAAAATATATTTTGCAGTATTGGATGGCGCCAAGTTTTAACAGTTTAAATGTAATTTCAAACTTCTATCTCTCTGCTAAATTTGAAGTCGATAGAATCCAATTTAAGACACTTGCTTCATTTTTTAATATAGCACTGAATAAATTGAATACTCTGTCCAACAGGTGAAAACCTCAAATACAAAAGTGTTAGCTGTCTATTCTTATTCAAGAAATTTTTCGAATGCATGAACGATTTTCGATAATTGACCTTTTCCTTGAACTCTTGTAAACGCTATTTTTAATTTAAAAAAAATAATTCCCGAACCCTCAGCCTCCTAACGTTATTTGCCTGCGAAATTTGAAGTCGATAACTTCAAATTTCGGACATTTATCGTGTTTCTTAACTTCAAATTTCGGACATTTATCGTGTTTCATAACGATGTCCAAAAAACAGTCGAAAATCTAAAGTTGCCGTCGAGGGAATTTTTTATTCATTCAAACTGATAACATTCCTTAGTTGAAAAATAAGGATTACATTAAAAAAAATGGAAATAATGTGAAGTTAATGGGTCTATTAAAAAGACGAAAAGTCGATTTTAGACACTCAGGACTTTATAGCATTGGTTTTAACTCCAATCAAATTAAGGAAAAAGTAGTTTCACCAATATCAATTGCAATTTTGGAAAAAACTAAGTTGTTTAAAACAAAATGGAAATTAAATATTAGTTATTTCAATTAGGCCATCATATTCTCTATTCACTTTTCAATGCACCTTTGATTGTTGCTAGCTACTTTTCTTAACTCTTGTCTAGTGATGCTACGAGAAGCTTCTCTAATTCGACTGCAATTGCGGCCGTGATAAATAAATTTTACTTTTTAATATACCCCTTAGAAAAAAATTTAGCGACGTGATGTCTGGAGATCGCGATGACTAACAGATTAAAGTATTTTGGTTCAACCAATTCCTTACACCAGCGGAGAATCATCAAACTGCAAATACAAATTGTACCTACCCTTTAGAGGTAATTCATTAATTTTACGACTTTCGAAAGATCGGAGAAAAGTGATCCCTTTTAAATTTTCATGAAAAAAGTATGGTCCAATTATTTTTTGCGTTTAAAATTCCACACCACACGTTCACCTTAATGGAATATCTTCTCTTGCTACCCATTTTTCTTCACTCCACATTCTAATATTCTGAGATGAAACTGTAGCGTTTGAGTAAATGTTGCTTCATCAGTGTACAAAATATTTTCTGGACCCTGAGATATTCTAAGTACATACCCTGCAACCATACACAAAACTCCATTCTTCTTTCGCTGTCACCACATTCTAGAGTAAGCTGGAATTAGTGTTTAAAGACTTCTTTCAACTTCTTTTAAACTGTCTCCAGATGCAGTTTTTGGAAATATTTAAGTTTACATCTGCGTTCCTAATACCGGATCGGGGATATTCATTAAAATAATTAAGATTTATTTGACTTAAAGGAACAACATTATTGCAATGTTGGTTGACGAGTTTATTGGCAGTCCCATTTTGATGAAAATGTCGGCCAGGATATCTTTTATTGAACTCTGCAGCAGCTTCACGGAAAATCGCGCACTATCACCAACTAGACGTACGATTACCACAACAAAATGAAAATATAAATTAGCGAGTAAATATGACAGTCGAATATTCGCCTCTCCATGGCAAACTTGGTTTTACATTTCTGTTATCTTCATTATTAGATGAGAATTGAAAATCCTATCTAATGTTCTCTAATCATATCTAATTTTAAGAAAATCATTAGTGTCCTTAAGTGAAATCCATCCAACAAAAAAAGAATTATCAAAATTGAAGCATAAAGAAAAATTCTACAGCAGCAATGCTTAAGCGAAGCGCCCGCGATGTTTTGAACTCCTTGTATTCGAACTTCATGGAAATTAGTATAGTTATTTCGTATGCAGTCCTGAATGAGAATTCATTGACACGTTATTTGTAAAAAGTATAGTTATTTTTTACGTAGTCCTGAATAATAATTCTTTGACTCTCTATCTCTCATAGCCCTTCTCGATATTTGACATAAAAATTAGTCACAGTTGGTCATGACTTCAGGATGATGTAATAAGAAACATAAGATTTTACTGCGTTTTTGAGAGATCTATCCAACTATAAACGAAGATTTTACAAGGGTGTACGTACCGTTCTTAAGGGTACACAGTGAACGACTTAAATATGGAACAAATTCATTTATAAATCAGGTCTTAGATTTCAAGACGCGGGCATGTGTCTTTAATATTTTTTTTTTGGAATAAATAAAAAATGTACACGGTTGTTCAAAAAGTAAGTTTTGATACCAAGTTCTCTTTTTTTAAATTGTACATTTTTTTAAATCCATTTTAGAAATCTGCATCAAATTTCGCGCCTATACCTCTTTTCGTGAGCAAAATAAAAACCGAAATTTAATTTTGAAATGAACAGGTAAGTAAGGTAAACTCAGATAATTGAAATTTTATTTTTATTAGATATGGAGACAAAGAGAGAACTCAAGAAGTTTGTAATTTGTTCAAAGCAAAATATCCAATAAAACCCGTTATTACAATATCCGAAATGAATAAATTTGAGAGAAAATTTATAGAAACCATTTACTTTATTATTATTATTATTATTATTATTATTATTATTATTATTATTATTATTAATATGCTACTCGGTTTAACAGTTCCAAAACATGATTCAGGATATTTTCATTAATTTTCCTTATTTATTATCTAATTCTAAATTTGAGATCATCTAAATTTTGTGGTTTTTACTTATACATTTTTGTTTTTAAATATTTTTTTGTGGATGTTATGTGTGATTTTCTCTCACCCGTCAGGAATTATTTGCACTCATATCGTGCCATTTTAACAAAAAAAAATTGACTTCATCACTAAACAGTAAACAAATTTCAAACTTCATGAATTCTCTTTTTGTCTCCATATCCAATAGAAAATAAAATTTTTAATCTCTGGGAAGAAAAGTAATACCTCATTTGTAAAAGATTTGAAATGAAAAACCGAATATTGGATATGCTTTTTCTTCCAATTATTAAATTATTATTACCATTATTTATTATTAAACTGTTATTTCCACTTTTGCTTTTCGCCAGTTCTCTGATGTCACTTCTCTAATGCCTTGTTCAAACAGTAGCGTCACTTTGAAGGTACTGTCTGTTACCAATCCCTTTCACTTGGGCCTAAATTTTCTTAAAAGAGTTAATTTTTCATGGTTATTACTGAATTATCAAGAAGGTACTTTTGTTTTACCAAAAGTGTTAAAAAATATCCGAATTCATGTCCTGATGGAATCTCTCGTATGAGACGAGTTTAAGGTTTGAAAACATTTATTAAAAATCCCTTTTCCATTTAATGTTGACAATTATTAGCCTCCCCCCTTTTCCTGAATGCAGCAAAGAACCGTCAATTTTTTATAAAATATAACATTCATTAGTCCACGTCTTTTCAAAACAAAATACTTTCTGCTGTCTTGGGTACTGTCTTATACATCTCAAATATTTTCCTCGCCAGCAAACAAGTGCTTTACATTTATTATTGTCTTTACTTTTTCCTTATATGTTTAAAAAAGATATTTTTAAATGATGTTGAAATTTTGTAGATGAATTGAACATTTTGAAACTTAGAAACGTCTCGCATAAAGACCCCGGCGTGTCGCTGGTGGACGGACCAATCAGTCAATTCCCAGCGTACAAATTCCGGCTCCCCTACGAAAATATTCCTTTGCCGAATTCCTCGGTCATCACGAAAAACTTCAACGTGTCGAACGGATTTACGGTCGTATTTTTATATCGGTAAGTTTGCCATCTGCAACATACAAAAACGTACCATTATTTATACTCTTGAGTAACATAAATGAGATGACACAGTTTCGATGGTACTGTCGAAGGTTTTGCAGATGTGCGTGACCCTATAATAAAGCATTTGAACAAGCATCTGATTTCTCCATTTGTTGTGTGCGTCGTCCTTCAGGATTAAATATTAGTATCAATCTTTTATCGTATGATAATGATAATGATACTGATTCATCCATATAAACGACAAACACATTTGTTCGACAAACCATTATTATAAAATAAACATAGATATATAATTTAAAAGGTACTCACTTGCACTCTTTACGTCGCTGAAAAGTACTCAAATTCATTTAGGTCATAAAATGCCTTTGTTATCGCAATCGCATTAAAAGTGGAAGGATTTGTAGTCTCTCGCAACTCTGGAGGTAATATTTTTAAAAGAAGATATCCTGCATATTCAGGTGCAACAATTGTAGTTTTGTGTGTGCAGCGTGTGTCACATAAAATGACCCATATATAAATTATAAATACATAAGTTTAAAGGAATTTTTAGATTATCTACTTTTGGGATAACGCCTTACATTTTAATGCATTTTTGAAATCTTATCTTATTTAGTGTACGGCAATTTTTTTAAAATACACCAGTCGCGGGCGTAGGGAATTTCACCTGTCCATTTTTTCCAACATTGATAGTACGCCACTGATTTCTCATAAAATAAAATTTATTCTTACAATTTACGATCATTTCTAAAGAAATTTAATTTGTAGATTTATTTCAATCCGATGTACGGTTTTCGCTTAAAAAAATAAAAACCTCTTCGCTGCATTGCAATAACAATATCGTTATTTCAGGGATTTTTTTTTATTTTAAAATGAAAACCGTTCGACAGACTAAAATAAAATGACGCCCGCAACTGGTGTATTGTCAAAAAACCGTGGCCTAAATAATGCCTTTTGATACATAGTACATGTGTGCCAAATTTCATTAAAATATTTAAAGTGGTATTACAGACATTAAAAAAAGATATTTTATTTTTGAAAATATTACCACCCTGTATTTCAAAAGTTATGAGGTTTATGTTCATAAGAAGTTTTCTTTTATAGAAAAATCACCCTCTTTGTTATTGACATTCAATTAGAAAACATCCTATACGTAAGACTTAGGTTTCATAAGTTTATGTATATATATATATATATATATATATATATATATATATATATATATATATATATATATATATATATATATATATATATATATATATATATATATATATATATATATATATATATATATATATATATATATATATATATATATATATATATATATATATATATATATATGATGACACTATATTCCGGGATATCATCCGTTCGCTCGTTGAACTCCGACTGGAATCCTGCATCCGACTGGAATCCTGCAAATCTTGCATCCGACTGGAATCCTGCAGACGTTTCGCCAAAGTCTCACTTGGCATCTTCAATGCTCGCGCTCCGAAAACACTTCGAACACCACAGTGTTCGAACGAAGTGTTTTCGGAGCGCGAGCATTGAAGATGCCAAGTGAGATTTTGGCGAAACGTCTGCAGGATTCCAGTCGGATGCAAGATTTGCAGGATTCCAGTCGGATGCAGGATTCCAGTCGGAGTTCAACGAGCGAACGGATGATATCCCGGAATATAGTGTCATCACATTTTTCCATCCGTGAATCAATACGTGAGAATATATATATATATATATATATATATATATATATATATATATATATATATATATATATATATATATATATATATATATATATATATATATATATATATATATATATAAATATATATATATATATATATATATATATATATATATATATATATATATATATATATATATATATATATATATATATATATATATATATATATATATATATATATATGATGACACTATATTCCGGGATTCCAGTCGGAGTTCAACGAGCGAACGGATGATATCCCGGAATATAGTGTCATCACATTTTTCCATCCGTGAATCAATACGTGAAAAAAAAATTATATATATATAGCAGAGCCATCGAAGTGTTAAAGAGTGGTGCGGTATTATAAAGGATAGAATTGTTGACCCCATTTTTTTTTAACGGAAAGAATTTTTTAATTTTTCTTCAAAATACAATAATACCAGAAGTAAAAACAATTGTGGTCATCAAATGATAATTTTTTTAAGAGTAAATTTCGAAAATATAATTGGTCAAAATGGTAACATTGCGTGGCTACCGCGAAGTCGCGATTTTACACCCATGGACTGTTTTTGCGGGGCACTATAAAGGATCCTGTGTATAAATTGCAAAATAACTATACAGTTCATGACCTTACGGAAAAAATTAGACAACAGGTTCTTGCATTAAATAATAGTGATAAGGTAAGAAATCCGGTCACCAGCATTATGACGCGCTATACAATGTGTATTGGAGAGGATGGACAATATATTGAAAAGTATTCACCATATTTAAGTTTTTTTTTTAGTTATTTCGTTCTTTTTTTTGTTTTGTAGATTTATTTATTCACATTTGTTACCTTGTTTAGTTAGCCGTTAGCCTATAAACTTAAATTATTTATTTTTGTTATTAGGTATTTTCAATTAAGCAAGATAATTAATTATTAAATGTTTCTTTAAATATGAATTCTGAAGTTGTAAACCATTATAAATATATATATATATATATATATATATATATATATATATATATATATATATATATATATATATATATATATATATATATATATATATATATATATATATATATATATATTTATATATATATTTATAATGGTTTACAACTTCAGAATTCATATTAAAAGAAACATTTAATAATTAATTATCTTGCTTAATTGAAAATACCTAATAACAAAAATAAATAATTTAAGTTTATAGGCTAACGGCTAACTAAACAAGGTAACAAATGTGAATAAATAAATCTACAAAACAAAAAAAAGAACGAAATAACTAAAAAAAAAAACTTAAATATGGTGAATACTTTTCAATATATTGTCCATCCTCTCCAATACACATTGTATAGCGCGTCATAATGCTGGTGACCGGATTTCTTACCTTATCACTATTATTTAATGCAAGAACCTGTTGTCTAATTTTTTCCGTAAGGTCATGAACTGTATAGTTATTTTGCAATTTATACACAGGATCCTTTATAGTGCCCCGCAAAAACAGTCCATGGGTGTAAAATCGCGACTTCGCGGTAGCCACGCAATGTTACCATTTTGACCAATTATATTTTCGAAATTTACTCTTAAAAAAATTATCATTTGATGACCACAATTGTTTTTACTTCTGGTATTATTGTATTTTGAAGAAAAATTAAAAAATTCTTTCCGTTAAAAAAAATGGGGTCAACAATTCTATCCTTTATAATACCGCACCACTCTTTAACACTTCGATGGCCCTGCTTATTAACTTTTTTCATTAAAAACTTATTCTTTGTTGAATAATAGTGGATTTTTTTTATTGTGCATGCCATGCGTCGTAAAAATCGCCTCATCGGTCCATAATGTTTTGTTAAAAATATCAAAATCATGGTGAAACAAAAATTGAATTGGAAGAAATTTATAAGGTTTTACTTGCCTTTTAAAATACGTCTTACAGCTGACATTGTCAGGTCAATAATTTTCGGGTAATTTAGTTAAGTATAATATTACATTCAATTTACAACTGATACAAGGGTGCTCTTTAATTCTATTAAATATTGTTTTTGTTGGTATTCTAGCGCCCGGAAACTTTCTTTGATACTCCCTTAATGCTAAGGCTGCACCATTGGTCAGGTAGCATTCATACAATTTTTGCCGTTCCTGAGCAGAATATTGCGGCATTGTAACCAAAATACTATAAGTTATTTAAAATATAAATAACGTATATACTACCAAAAGACTTGACAACTATGAACTTTTTAAATAGAAATAAGAAAAACCACAAAAACAAACAGAAATGTTAAAGTTTGTTTAGACCTTAATGCGCCAAAAAAAAAGATTGCGATATCATAACTAACTAAATATTTTAGTTGTATTATTTATTATTAGGTATAATTATTTAGTTGGCCTAAAAACTTTAATTATTTATTTTTGTTATTAGGTATTTTCAATCAAGCTAGATAATTAACTCTTAAATGTCTCTTTAAATATGAATTCTGAAGTTTTATGAAATATGTTAAAGTGTGTGGTATAGAGTCGATTTTTTGTTAATTTCCAAGTATTAATGGATACCCTGTATTGTTAGCAATTGGTTTCATTCGTATATGGGGAGTATTATATCTTTAAAAAAAGTAATATGTTTTTTCTATTTAAAAATACCTAATATTGACAACAAGTGACCTAATGTAGGCAGTTTTAAATTCAAGAAGAATTTATACGGGTGTTATCTTAAACCTGGAATATCTCAAAATGTAAGTAAAATTTAAATATAAGATAAATTACAAACTTTCCTTATTTTTTGTCCTAGAAATGGTATCTGAATAAAAATATAGTGTATAAACTGAGGCGCATCTGTCAAACTGATTGAGTAGTGCATCATCTCCTTAGCCTGTGGTTAAATTTTCGTTACAATACCTGGATCAGTAGCATCACAGCACAATTTTAAAAGCGGCAATCAGAATATGAAAAGAAAACACATTACCTCAATTTCTGTCTAAACTATGCAAAATTTGAATAGGAATTTGTTAAGGTTATTTTAATCAAGGATTCCAAACATGTCGAAATATTAGGGTGTGTCATTGGAAATAACAAAGTTGTTAACGGTTGATGGGGGAGGAGGGCGAACTTTTTAGTTAGGGACACCCTGCATCAACAAAATTATAATATTTTAAATCTTCAGTTTGGGTTTCCAGATCGTATAGTGGATCGTTTTATTTGGCACACGGTGTACACAAAATTCAAGCCTGTTAGCTTACCAAATTGCATATTTTTATCTCAAGGCATTTTGAAATGCCATAGTTTCGTTGCCACCGTGTATATAGAAGATGTTTTATACGCATTCGACTGGAGGTATAGAGGGTGTGTCATTTAATGAGCTCTAAATGAGTATTTAAAAATGTGGAAACTCATAAAGCACAAAAGACACCCGGTACAATTCTAGACTTAAAGATCAAGAAATTTTATTAAACTTAAGTCTTTTGTGCAAATATTGCTAGTGAGTTTAAAATATATTTTGCAAACCACATAACCCATGGTGCTAACTAATTACAATCAGGACTATTGGCATGTTTAAAAGATTAAAAGACGTTGAAAAAAATTTTGGAAGAAGTAAATCTAGACAAACATGACACACCATAAAATTACAAAAAATAGATAATAAAGCGCCCTGACAATGAGATTAATCTCTTAGATGCTTTTTTAAGTGAAGAAGACGAAATTGCAATCTCTATTGCTTCTGGAACTCCTCGTTTATGTTTATAATTGCTTCTTAAAAGGAAAAGAACTTTCAGCAGAATGGCTTACCGCTTACATACCTCTAATCTTTACAAAAAATTGGATGAAAAATTATAGTAGTAGAAGTGGATAGATCAGTTTTGCCTGCGTTACTACAGGCTGGGATCAGTCTCATATATGTTAAAGCCGTTTAATAAATATATGCTGCTTTTACAGGTAGCATTAAAATAGGATATAGGATAGCGGTCACAAAACGGCTTACCTATATTATATATAAACATATCTTAATGCAGCTTTAAACTACTGGAGATGCAGAAACATGGGATACGTACGCCTGCAGCGCCTTACAGCTTAATCGGGCCATGTTAAGTATCTTGGTGTCACAATAACAAAAGCGGGAAAGAGTGAATAAGAACCGAATAAGACAAGTAAAGTATGCGAAACAATTAAATTCCATGTTGGGGAGCAATCAAATTAGACCAAAAACTAAAATAAGAATATATGAGGCTATAGAAAGTAATAGACAGCCAACGGAGGTTGTAGGCTTACATTACAGGACGGGATGAGGAATGTTCATTTAAGGAAAAGAATGAATTTAGGAACAAATAAAAAGAAAAAGAAATTATCAAAAATGAAACCCTAATAAAAAAAGACGCCGACGAAGACTACAAAAAACCTGGAGACGAGGCGTACGAAATTCCGCAAGGGAACGTGAACGATGATGATTGGAAAAATAGGAGATTATGAAAACTAGGATGCAATGGACGACTCTATAACAAATAGCATTTATATATAACAACCTTAAACATTTGCTATTTATTTAAATTAAATTAATATTACTTTATTATTATCATAGGTATTAAGAAAAGTATATGATCACGAATTTGCATGTTCGTGTTTCCAAAATAATGAAAAAAGCCTTTTTACTAACCTCTGGAAAGCCAGTTCACCAAATTTCGCCACGGACTTAGCAACTCTCTTCTTTTCTGCTTTTACGCCGTAAGTGGGCGTAGTCCATAATTTAACCAACATCACCATCGATAGATGCCACGACTCAGTTAAAATTAAAATTTAGGAATTCCTATAAAAATGGATCACTTTTTGTGAGAAACCTGGTACACACCATCCTTACCAGATTTTTATATTTGCAGAGATCAACTTAAAATAAATGCTAGCAAGTCAAGCCTATTATTAATTTTTGGGAAAATTGCAAAAGAGTTGGAAAATTCAGTTCCAGTTAAGCCTTGAAGACGCCAAAATATTTGGAGGTTGTTTTAAAACACGAAAAATTAAAAGCTGTTGTCAAAGCTAGTAATTTTCGGGTACTGATCGACACAAACTCAAAATGCAAATCTCGTGATAGCAGATACATTCAGTGTACAGGGTGGTTCTAATAAACGTTACGAATAAATAAATAAATAATATTAAATACTTATTACACAACAGTATTTTTTGTGTATTTTCTTGAACGTTCCTTAGTATTTACGATGTTATTCTCCTACACGCGTCCCGAATCCTATTTTCTTTTAACATATCCCCACAAAAAAAATCTATTGAAATACCTAATACAAGTTATAGGTTTGTGTAAGGTCTTAAGAAAATCGAGATTTTTCAATTTAAAATGATCCAAATCGATTCGTTTATTGTGAACGTCATCCTTGAATAACAAAAATAATGACGCAATCGGATTTTTTTTTCGAGTGTGAAAACTCGTTTTTTTTTTAATTTAAATATTGGAAGAACTATTAGGTTTAGGTATGTATTATTATTAATAAAAGAATTAAATAATTTTAAATTCAAAACAAGATTTAAAAATAGGTCGTTCCATTAAAAAAATAATGATTTATTTTTCTTCCGGTTTTGAGTCAACCTGTATACTTTTAAATCATTGTAAATTATACATCCTAGCAATCTTTAGAACTTTGAAATAATGAACTTACTCGTTGACTCGCCCTGTAAATACATAATTGAATTTTAATATGTAGAGAGATTCTATACCTTCCGCCCCACATGATTAAATTGCCTGAAACAACATTTACTTACAGCACAAATAACTGTTATTTATTCCAGGCAGCAAAGAAACAATGTCGGAACTTTGTTGTCCGTCAACTCTCCTGGAAGACTCACGCCGTGGTTTCAGCTCGTTTCCAACTCCAGAACAGGAACACTGTTACTCAAATACAGACTAGAAAATTCTAACAAGCCGAGGCAAATCGAGTGGAGTCTGCCCAGGCACCATAAAAAATCTCCTCTAGCAGGTAACGCATTACCATTTAAATTGGTGGTGTTTATTTGGAAAGGCAATGGGTTTAAGCGTGGATATGGACCTCTGTATCCGTGGACTATTCCGATGGTGTTGTTAGACTGGACGTAGATTGCGCCCCCAGCGTTTTCGAAATGATATCATCCGAAAACTCTAAAGAAGACAAAATAGGAATTCCGACAGACGCTTTGGTTTACTTCAGGCAGGAACCGGGTCGCAAGAAGAAGTTTTTGGTAAAAAATAATAAACGATTCCTGTAAAAAATGTCATGTCTTTGTTTTTCTAGGGATCTATTCAAGTGGCAAAAGTTTTACCATACGTCACACACAAGAGGTTGTGGTCTTGTATGGAAATATCCCCCAATTTACTTCCGGAATTTCGCAAGCCGCTTTTGTAAACCTTCTAATCGTATGATGCTATAATTAATTTTAATTAGTTCTAGGTCTTTGACGGCTCAGCGTTTAATTTTGGATAGCACGGATTTTCGTACGTGACACGATTGGCTAGTGAAAATTCTATGTGGGGATCGAAGTGCCTCTATCACTTCTTTTTTGTCAATAAACGGGATCAGCAGTGTAAAGGGGAAGTAATGTGATATCTTAAATATAATCAACGATAATTAAAACTTTAAAGTTAAGATGGCAAAATTGATAGTGTTTAATTTGTTAGTTGATAAGGTTCCATTTATATAAAACATGCATAGGTATATCATACAGTGTTTTAATTAGATTTTTCTTTGACATGCAAGACCAAAAGATTTTTGTCCACCGCCCGCGATAGTCGTTCCTGGAACTCTGCCAGTGGAGGGGGGGGGGGGGAGTTAAAACGGTAGCGCTGGAAGCGGACAGGTAGTACGGAGTTACGAGGCGAGGAGGCCGGTTCATCGTTTTTGATACCGGACCCGGCAGACCGACTCAAAGAGTGTTATTTTTGCGTTGGGTTCCCAATACTACTCCTCTCAAGTGTGTCCTTGTTTTCTCAAATATACGTTGTTTATTTTACTCCAGAATTCCACGAGATTTTATTATGTGTTTTCACGTAACCGCAGAACAGTATGTGAAGACTGCAACACCTTGTATATTAGTTCAGTTTTTTGTTAAAAAAGGCTTGAAAACCAAAAAAATAAAAATACAAAATAAATGTGATTCATTTTGGAATTGGGTAAAAACTCGATTATGCGGAAGAATTAAAAAAAGAATTCCACTTTGCCCTAGTCTTGCAGGCAAAATGCAATCTTTATAGGGGCAAGATCGAACGCATACAAAAAACATCACATTTTGCAATCTGAACCTAATAGATATCCATTTTCTTTACTGCCATATAGCTCCTGTGGTCAATTGACTGATATTCTCCTTAATCTTCCGTAGGCGGATCCACATATTCTTCTTCACAAAGTGAACGGAACAGATCGTTTGGTGCGAGCTGTGTCGGACTAAGCACTTTTTGATTCCTTTTACGCTTTTATTTTCCGTTTCCTTTATTCGCGCCCTTTGATTTTTCAGTTTTTATCCTTTTGTCGTCTTGACCGAGGATTTCTGACTTCTGCCTGAGTATTATTCTTGGGGAAATACCGTAAGATGCGGATGGCTGATATAAAATTAATTTTATTGACATCCGAGAAAGATATTCTCCGTTGTTTGGCTTCCAAATTTCCAGTATTTTTATTCTTTGCTGTAATGGACTCGTTATTATGTGTTCCTCCTAAAACTTCATTCTATATTGCTATTGACTCTTCATTCTGTGTTCCTTTTAACTCCTCATTTTCTATTCCTTCCGGCTGCCCATTCAGTTACTCTTCTCCATCAACAGTTGCTGAAATCACTGGAGCGTTTTCGGAGCAAAATCTACATCAGTGAACAATTCTCTATCACATGAGAAACTTATAGCCTTTTTAAAACCACTGGTGGCATTTTGTGCTGTGGCACTTTTTTCATATATACTTCTTGCGGCATAATTTTTTTTTTTGGAAAGTGCCATCAAAGTGTCTCAAACACCACTTTAAATGATCCGTATACTGGTATAGTGATTGCAACTTGTGGTTAGTTTGTGGGGGAATGCTTGCCATGATCACATGTTTTTCTCGTGCTGGTTTGTCTGCAGTAGGTTTAGTTTCCTCAATAAATGTGGCAGGAATAAAGCGTCCTGAGGTGCTGCAAGCGCATATTACAGTGGTCAGTTCCCCTTTTCTGCTATATAAATAACCCCTTGATTTTTTCAGAAATTACCCTAGAAGCTCTAAAAGCGCTAGTTTTAACACCAGTTTCATCCGGTCTTGACAAGAACTGTTTTGGAAAAGAACAGTCGATAAGTTATTATAGAAACGATCAACTGTGCGATTACATGAGGAGCACATAGGACTGTTCTGGTATTTTGTATGCTAGTTGAGGATACCAATGCATAAAACCACCATGCTCATCCAGCTTTTTCACTTGTGATAGGATGCGAAATTTAATTTCGGGCCGCCACTTCGTAAGTCAATTTCTGCAAGCTTCCTCCTGTTAGCCCATAAAAAAGATTGCCAATTGTAAATAGCTAACACAAATTTCGAGCTCAAGTTCCCTGGAGAAAACAAGTTGAGACCCACCCAGTTTTTGTCGGTATAATGTACCGATCGGAATCCTATATTTCTTTGATGCGGAAGTTATTGATGTAGCTTTAGCATTTTGCATTGCATCTTTACTCCAAGATCCTCGACTACTCTCGCTTATATATTGGAAGACCATCTAGAAAAAAATGAGAGCATCTAAAGTAATGGAATGGAGAAAAAATGACATGCATGCAAAACGGAAAGCGTTCCATCTTGCCCTCAAATCGAATTTTCCGTCTTGCCCATATGTCACCGATAAAATTCTGAAAATTACAAAAAAAATCGTTTTTAATTTTGTTTTTATCTCAATTAATATACTTTATACATAGTAACACTTTTAAAAGCAGTTTTTTTTGTACTAGCGCGTATGTAAAAAACACACATACGCTTCCCCAGACCGCGAGATTCGCTCTGATTTTCGTATAGGACGTGCACAGCGACCGACAATAGTTGCCCGATGATCATTGTCTCTAGTGCCATCTAAAACGATTTCTGTATAATAGATACTTTCCATCTTGCTCTCTCCACCCCTCTCCTTCCGACCAATCACAAATACGTTTTTTCACTCTTAACTAAAATAAGAGATATCTAAACGAAACACAAAAGGAATAAATTATAATTAAAGAAGATTCCAATACAATCCAAATGCAATTCGAAGAGACTAGAGGAAAATGAGACAAACAAAAAGCATAAAATAAACCTAGAAAGAAAGTTAGAATATATACCGGAAACTGTTGATATAGAAGACATGTGGAAGAGAATGAGGGCGGAAATGATACAGGCTAACATGTGAAATCGAGTTAAACGTCAAAAATTAAAAAAAAATAGCGACCGTTAAAACATAACACACAAGACATAAAGAACATCAAAAAAATGTAAGAGAACATTAAGAGATAAAAGAGAAGTACCTATCATGAATAGTGCCTAGAAGAAATAACCAATAACTACCAAAAGAATGAAATGCGGAAAAGGTATCTCGATATCAAAGAACAAAATAGAAGCATCAAGCAAAAAGTCAAATTTGTAAAGACAAAGGAGTGAAATGGTTAGCAGATAAAAGCGTAATATTAGTTCTATGGAAGGCATAGCTAGATAAACATGTAACAGAAGTAGAAGAGGTAGAACCACTACCCAACCAACCATCTAACCAAAACTAACCAACGGTGGAAGAGTTAACAGATATTACATGTCAACTTAAGAACAACAAAACTGTCGTCGAGGACAATATAACAGTGGAAATTATTAAATATGGCGACAAAAACCTCATGAAATGTGAAGGCAGAATGTGATTCCGGATCAATGGAAAAAGACTACTTTACTGATGTATAGAAAAGTAACAGATCTGTTACTTTTCTATTTACAAGAAAAGTAACAGATCTGAATATGAGAACTACATAGGGATAACCCAATTGAATATAATCTAGAAATCTCATATATAAAGTGAGTGTAAAGTGCGGGTTGGCAACGACAGATCTGTAATGGATAAAATTTTCATACTCAGAGAAAACCAGGCCGAGAGTTGGGAGAAAAGGACACACACGTTATATTTATAGACTTTGAATAAGCCTTCAACAGAATAAAAACAAATAAGCCACAATTTACAAATCTTCTGCAGTCTCCCTGTGTCGGTTGATGATTAATCGAACTTGCTGACGTTTCGATAACCATCCTCTTGGCAGAGCTTAACTGAAACTGGCATGCTACTCTAGGCCATGCACATTGTTCCAAATGACTGATTCGGATATTGGTGAAAGGTAAAGACATGAGTCGCAGTTCAGACTGTTGGGGTGCTTATAGATTTCAAAAGATTGTCGGATTTTTCGTTGGTAAAAGAATTGCTTATAGGCAAGAATTTTTGTTTTACCGAATAAAATTTTATATCCGATTTCGTGACTGTGTTCGGCAATTGCTGATATGTTTATTTGTCCTAGTCTTAAGACTCCTTCATGTTCTTTCAGCATAGTTGATTTTTTTCGTCCGGTCTCTGCAATGTATTTCTTGCCGCATATGCATGAAATCTCAAAAGGGAATTTTGTCTTTGACTGATCGAAAATTTTAAGTATTAAAGTATTAATTATTAAGTATTAAGTATTAAATCTGGTTTTGACTTTATATTTCTTTAAAACTTTTTATATGTGCTCAGTGATGTTTTGAATGTAAGGAAGTGGCAAGTGTGAGGTTGCTTTCGGATTCATTGTCAGTGGAAGTTGGCGGTGAAGTGTACTTTGTGATGGAACGCTTAATACCTATAATGTGAAAATTATTAGACAGAAGATGTAAGGTGATTTAATTCTGGATTCATTGACTCCGCTTGAGATAGTTTCATGGCTCTGTAGACAAGAGAGTTGATAACCCACGATTTTTGGGTCGGATAGTGATCTGACAATGCATTAATCGGTCTGTGTGAAAAGGTTTTTGGTAAACAGAATGACCCAATATTTGGTCTGATTTTCTATTGGTGAGAATATCTTAGAATGGAGGAAGAAAGGGACGATAGAGGTTTGAACATTTTACTGCATGTGGAGGCAAACATAATGATTAGTTCGAGAATTCTTGGACAACCTGTAAATAAACATCATACAGTTTTGCGCACATTAAAAAAACAAACAAACAAAATTCGAAGAGCACCAAGAGCTCCGGAAAGGCGATTAAGAAAAAAGAGTAACAGTTTGTTTTAAAATGAAAAAATCAAAAAAATTATAGGGATTTAAAAAATATATATTTGTTTAACACCCAACAATATACCAAATGTTGAAAACTTTCGGTATTGGAGCCAAGACATTGAATATCGTTGTGTTCATACTCCAAGCCAATATCCTCAAGAAATAAAAAGGTGGGAATTTTCGGACGTTATATTATTGGGACACTGTTAATGCAGGATTCTTTTAATATTTACTTCAAAAATAATGTTTATTTTAAATAATATTTCTTTTTAGCAATGTTTTGTAGCCGTATTTTTATTATAATTATTATTTCATTTTATAAAAGACTTGAGGGTCTTTCCTTAAAGCTGCGTTGTCGCTTAAACCGTCAATTAAATATAATTCATTCCAAGAACGCTTTAAGGGACCAGGAGGTCTTAAGAATCGAGTATGAGTTTGATCCTAAGAAAAACATAATACCTATATACTCAGGTTATTTTGAATGCATGAAACCAAACGTTATAAACTAACCTGTATATGATATTTCATTGTCCAGCATGACATCGTCAAATTTTGGAAATAGTGTCATCGAAAATATGCGCTGATGTTTGCTGTATTGATTTTTGTAATTTTTCCATAATATTTGATTCAATAATTGAAGATTAACTTATTAAAAATTATTCAAACTCGGTACATGATTAACGTATGTGCGATTAACTGGTCCCTTCAAAAAGTTATATTACAACTTTGCTACAAAATGTACAGGGAGTCAATATTTGGGTATCTAAAAATTTACATGGGATTTACTAGGTTCCGTTCGGCAATGAGCCGATAGATATAGATCTAACTAAATATAGAAGCAGAACATGGACAATCCACAAAAGCGAGTAAAAAATATTACCAGTTTGGGAAAGAAAGTGTTTGCGCCAAATATTTAAAAGAGGGAAAATCGGTGATAGATGGGAAAGAAGAATCAATCAGGAACTGCAAAGCTATTTGCCGAACCTAAGATTGTGGACGTGGATGGATGGACGGATGGACGAGGTGAAAGACATGGATGAATTAGACATTAACGGTTGAAAAAGGAAAGCAGAAGACAGAAAATAATGGAAAAACAAAATCAACCAAGCAGCCTTTTTGGCCTGCAGAGCTATTGCTCATCAACATTCTAGAGTTTTCTAAGAAGTAAATAATACAAAAAATTGCAATGGCGGTGATATAAAAAAACCTAAAGAGAACATCTTCATTAAATATACTATCCAGTGGTTGGGAGCAAAAGTTTTCTTCTTCAGTTTCTTACTCAATGTTTTTATCCGACAATCATCTTGTACACTTCCAGAGTTGCAAATATCTTTTCAATGTCACCGCATTTTGAACGCACGCTTCTTTATTCTATGTAGGGCCAAAAGAAAATTGTCGTATTCTACACGAAAGAATCATAATACGTTTTAATTTTTATTACAATAGGGAATGCTTTCTAGTACCTCATCTTAAGTAATGTTTCGGTTTCCCATAATTAACTTTTTTTTTTACTTTGGACAATTTTTTTTGCAATTCAATTTACCACATTTCTGGTTGCTGTTTCGATTCTGGTTAGAATTGCATTCCAATTGATTGTTAAATTATATGTGTGTTTGTAATGTAAAAAAGAATGGGGTTTGTAGAATCTGTTGGCATATAAAATACTTGCTGCACATCGAATTTAGCAGAATGCATTTTTTTAGGATTTTCTGTGACTACAACTTTGTCGAACATTTTTTTCCAATATGGATATGGTGGTGATATATTTCTAGCATATTAGTTTTGGCGTTATGGCTTTGACGGTTTCCTACGATGTAACCCTCCCCCCTCCCCATATTGGACCAAAATAGCTGTGATTCTAATCACATATGGAACGAACAAAAATATTTCACAAGTAATGTGTGTTTTTTTTTCGATGTATAGAACTTTAAGTTGGCATTACTGTTCAAGATGGCGACCGATTTAACAGCTGACAAGTGATTTACTCTCAGTTTGGTTTGGCAATTCATCATGAATAGACTCACGCCTGAACAACGCTTGCAAATAGTGCAATTTTATTTCGAAAATAATGTTTCTGTGCGGAATACGTATCGCGCACTACGTCCATTTTATCGTCGACAAAATCGTCAATCAGAGCAGTTAATTCGATTAATCATGGAACGTTTTCGCACCACGTTTACTCTTATTGATAACTCGCGTCTTCAGAGACGCCGTATGGTGCGTACAGAAGAAGCTATTGCTGCTGTAGAGCGTAGCATTGAGGAAGACCCGAATGAGTCCATTCGCTATCGAGCACAGGAATTGGATCTGTGTCCATCCACTTTGTGGAAGATTTTGCAGAAGGATGTTTTACGTGCTTACAAAATCCAACTCGTGCAAGAATTGAAGCCAAACGATCATCAAGTAAGGCGTAGATTCGTCGAATGGGCCCAAAACGAGATTGCTGTTCCCGATTTTCATAAGCGAATTTTGTTTAGCGATGAAACGCACTTCTGGTTGAATGGCTACGTCAACAAACAAAACTGCCCCATTTGGAGCGAAGCTAATCCTCAAGTGTATGTCGAAACACCGTTACATCCAGAAAAACTGACTGTTTGGTGCGCTTTATGGGCTGGTGGATTCATTGTTCCGTACTTCTGCAAAAACGATGATGGTCAGAACGTTACAGTCAATGGTGATCGGTATAGAACTATGATTACTAACTCTTTCATTCCTGAATTAAAAAACTATGATGTCCAGGATATGTAGTTTCAACAAGACGGCGCAACATGTCACACAGCTCATGCCACAATCGATTTATTGAAAGACACGTTTGGTGACCTCCTAATTTCACGTTTTGGACCTGTGAATTGGTCTCCATGATCTTGTGATTTAACATCGCTAAACTACTTTCTGCAGGGCTATGTAAAGTCATTGGTCTATGCGGATAAGCCACAAACATTTGACCATTTGGAAGACAACATTCGCCGTGTTATTGCCGATATACGGCCACAAATGTTGGAAAAAGTCGTCGAAAATTGGACTACATGGCCGTGGCGGTTATATGCCAGAACTCGTACTTAAAATGTAATGCCACAAGATTATCTTTCGGATAAATAAAATTTATGTCAATCGAATAATCCATCGTTGTTTTATTGCAACTTAAAGTTCTATACATCGAAAAAAACACCCCCTTACTTCAATATACACTCCGCCAAATTCCAATTGGGGCGCAAAATTTAGACCTTTGGCACAATGGGAAATCAAACTGTGTAGGAAATTCAAAAAACATATTTTGTTAATAATCACTACTATCAAAATGTTCCAATAAAAAACATCAACTTGTCAAAATCTAAATATATAGGAACATTTTTAAACTTTTTGAGCAAAAATTTTTGTAACTCCTATAAAAATCACAAATTGTTATTCACAGTTGTTTTCTGAAATCTGATACCTCGCTACGCTGCCCTACAGGTTTCAGTTAATCAAGTGAACTGCATATAATACTCATTTATTTTTATCCATATCATACAAAATAAATTAAATAGAAAAAGAAGAAACAAAAACAGTTTTCATAATCCTTCAATGTTTGCTATTAACGGCTCTTCTGTCGAAGGCATACCCTGCTGATGGGAATTCGCTGGGGTAACTACTGTGGACACCTAGAAAATAAAAAAATTAATATAATTTATTATCCAAATGTATAAATTTACCTTTGAATGGCCAGAAATGGTTTCCACGGTAGAATCTGGTGGAGGGTTGTAAGAATAAAGACCCATAAGTCCTAGCAAGGGATGACTCGAGGTAGGTCGTACTGTAGATGTGGTGGTCTCTAAATTATTTACTGCAAAATAAATACTGGAACAATTAACTACGAATGCAAATTAAAATTCTTACTTAAGTGAGGCCATTCGCTGTAGACCACCTTTATGGGATTCGTTAAAATTTCGTTCCCCACTCTTGTCTCGCTCTGAGGTTCTACCCTGATGCTAATTTTGGTCATGGTCGAAGCCATGTTAACTTTCCCGTTCTGGATCTTCGGAGCCATACTGAAAGCAGTCGTAGGAGTTGGAGTCACTGCTACTTTACTTTGTGGCGTAACAATGTACACTTTTTCTTGAGTAACGTTCGAAAGTAATACTTGAGAGGTATTCCATTGAGAGACATTTTCAGTCGTCGGTACGTATCTTATAAAAGGTAAACTGGTGGTAGTGATTGATTCATCGGAGTCGATCGAATTACTTTCAATCTCGTTGCTAATTGATTCTTCCCTTGATGAACCTGCCGCCAAATGATCAACGTCGTAATTATGGGTGGTTAAGTACTTGTCAGGAATCTGTTTCACTTCTTTAAACTTGCGTATCTTGTCACCAAAGTTAATGTGCTTTGCGTAAGATTGATGGGTCCAGTCGTCGATATTCCTCTGTAAAGTTATCACGTCGTAAGGCAAATGGTGCTTCAAATATAAGGCAGAACTTTGATTGGCGAGTAAGTCTTTAATATTGTAAACTTTAGTGCTCGAGCTGACGTCCTGCGGACGTTCTTGCTCTGTGAAAATGTTCCACTGTGGTTTCCCGTTAGTTATTGGAGGAGGATTAAAAGTTGGCGACAAAGTGTCGTATTTTTTGTTCAAAAACCATTTGTCTTTCATTTCTGCTGGAGGCAGTTTTTCGGAATTCCAGGTTGACTTTGAGGGAGGTGGAGGTAACATCACCGTGGATATTAAATTATACTCCAACGAAGGTTGTGCAAGGTTGTATTTGTCAGTTGCAGTGCCTTGTAGAATTTTATCGCCATTTGCTATAGTTGGACTTACTGGAGCAAATCCCGTACCCAAAAACTTGTCGTTGTCCCTTTTGGTATTTATGGTGGTGCTGTTAATCGTACTCTCAGACGCAAGTATGTCCTTGACGAATATAGGATTCTCGTGAAGTTTAAATTCAGTTGAAGCTTCCGCGCTGTCGCTCAAAGTGTGCTTCCTATTATCAGCTAAATTGCTTTTCTCTTGAGTCGCTAAGGCTTCGTCTCGAGCGATAAGGTCCAACAATGGAGACTGGATCAGGTTGATCGGATGCTCGATCGATGCCGTGTAGTCCGCTATCTGCACGCTTGGCACCACTTGAATATCTGGGTAGTCTCGGTCGTCTCCACTGGCAAGGGTAATTGTGTCTAGATATGGTAAATGATTGCCAGTAACTGGGTTACCGTAGCTATCAGATGGCTTCGCAGTCGGCAGGTGGGAACTCTGAGTTTTTTGAACGAAATTTAAATTTTGAACTGGCTTTCCGTAGCTATCCGAAGGTGTGGCAAAAGGCAAATGAGTTTGAGCTAAAGGCAAATGGTTTATTCCCGGAAATGAGTGTGGTTGATAGGGCGGTGGCGGCGGTCGGAAATTTGAAGAGATGGGTCTGTAATTATTGACGGATGCAATTTGCTGAAGTTTATGCAGGTTCAGCCTTGGCTGCGGGGAACTATAGAGTATTGATTGGTAAGTAGGTCCCACTAGAGAATCAAACGCAAAGTTGGGCAATTTACTGAACGTCGACGGTTTAGAGTAAAAACTCGAAACTGGGGGTTTTATAGCGTTTAGGGAAGAGGATGGTTTTCTGATGAAAAGGGGAGGAGGTAACATAAATTCCGCCACTTCTCCATGCTTGGGTTCACCGTAGTAACCCTGGGGGGCACCGTATTGGTCAATCGGTGGGTATAAAAAGTTCCTGTGTTCCGGAATGTTTGCGCGACTATTAAATACAACCTCTGGACTCGTAAAGTGTAACTTTCTGCCAGTTATGGGGATCCAAGGAATCTGGTTGCAGGAACTGCAGTCGATTTCCCTGTGGGCGTATCTGGATGATCTGTAGGGGTATGATTCTGCTGCCGCGGGTTCCAAATCATCTGTACTGCTGCTTATAATTGCATTTAGAGATGTTGACTTTGATTTTTCCAAGTGCGTAGTGACTAATTTAGTCTCCTGGGCATCGCCGTATATGCAGCGCAAGATATAGAGCATCCAAATTATGCTAACAACCTGGAACACGACAAAATATAAATATTACGTTTACTACATCTCCAATCTATTGTGAAAACCACTGCGAAGCCTTGAGTTTTATTTAAGATTAAGATTATTTAAAGACATACTCGTGTTCATGACCCGCAAATAAACAGCAGCAGACGGATATGCAGCATTATCATAAACCGTGCAATAAAAATAATAAACGAACGCTGATTTTCTATTGTTTTGCAGGTACCTTCGTGAAAGTGTCATGAAGCAATTGCCGAATTTAGAAATAATATTTTCATTTTTCTAGACAAAAGGTGGTGAAAGTTAACACAAAATTTTCTTATTATTTGTTTAAAGAAACCAAAAAGTATTCGAACAATTTGCCGGTCTCTAACTAGTCTGGGACATACTCTCATATTTCCTTAGTTCTATATTGTACTTATAGTGTCATTGTCTTGTTAGCTTATTCCTATCTGCCACGACATGACTACTAATGCCATAAAAAATGCAAAGACACTGCGACTCTAAGATAGCACTAGCAGAGCTTTATTATAGGTTCAGTTCACGCAGTTGATATACAAAGTTCATTATCTCATTGCTTTCAAAAGTTATGACAAAATGTTAAATACAAAAGTTGTAAAGATTGTTGGGACGCACAATTTAAAATTATTTTAAAGTATACAGGATAGCTCAAAAAATCTCGACGATTAAAACATAATTTTTTTTTAATGAAACACCCTAGTTTTTAATATTGTTTTGAATTATTTTACAAATTCTTTAACTATTACTATTATATATTACTCATATTTGATATTGGCGTAATATTGACGTAAAAAATACATGCTACTTAATTTGAATTAGATGCTACAGGGTGTTCAAAATAAACGATTAAATTTGGATCATTTCATTTGAAAAATCTTACAAAAAACTACAACTTTTATTAAATATCTCATACACCTATTTTGGATATTTTGCGATTTATTTTAACTTTTTTTATATTTTCCATTCTTTCTGTCTAAGACTATTGACTGTTCTTTAAAGCTGCACAGTTATTGGTTCCTAAAAAAAATGTTTTGAATCTATTCGAGATTATGCTATGGTATTCCAGTTTGGGGAAATTGAAATCGTGCGATATCTGTTTTCCAAATCATTACAAAATTTACTCCATTGTACTGGATATTACAAAAGCCTTTGATACTATTAATTATAGATTGCCAAGTCTCGGTATATGGGATTTGATGACAAAGCGTTAAGCTTTTGTGAATCGTATCTATATAACAGGTGTCAAAAAGTTCTGTTGCAGGACCGGCTATCAACTACTCTAGATATTCCATCAGGGGTACCACAGGGTTTCAGTATTAGGACCATTATTGTTTTTGATTTATACAGAGCAGAGCCAAGTACAATTTTTTGCCGATGATAAGCAATTGTTCCATAGTTTCGAACGCGACCGTTGCGAGGAGGCAGTGAACAGCATAAATAAGGATTTGGAAAACATAGTCACCTTTGCGGAGGATCATAATTTACGTTTAAATCCATCAAAGTGTAGTGTCATTATTTTTGCCCCTAAGAGGAAAAGAAACAGTTTGAAGTCCAAAATGAAATTATACGTTGACAACAATGTCATTCAAGTTGTAGAATTTGTTAAAAATTTGGGTCTATATATTGACGAGAATATGAAATTCTTGAATCATATTAAGCACATCTCCAAACAACGTTATATGAGTTTAAAATTATTACATTCAAATAGAGATATATTGTCCTACGATATGAAACTACAGTTGTGTCAAAGTCTAATCCTCTCTCGCTTGTCTTATTGTAACATTGTGTATTACCCCTGTTTGGACGCTGTTACATCTTATCGTCTACAAAAAATTCAAAATACTTGTCGCTTTATTTTTAACCTACGCAAGTTTGACCACATATCAGCCGCTCTCAAAAGATTGAATTGGTTAAAAATCAAAGATGTTTTCATATACAACTTTTTATGCTGTTTGAAAAGTGTAATAAATTCCAACATTCCAAAATATTTGAATGACAAATTAGCTTAGGAAATCCATTCATGTCTTGAATCTAAGACACCAATCATCACTTACTATGCCATTGCACAAAACAAAAAAAGTTCAATGTTCTTTTACATATAATGCTGTAAACCTGTTCGACTCCTTAAATAGCGGCTTCAAATCAAAGTTACTTGGTTCATGTAAAAATTTTAGCTTACATTTAAAAAAACAGTTACTAAACTTAATGCAAAATAATCCGTTAGAATACATGTACATCATTCATTCTATTTTGTAATTTCAGATGGATCTTTGGCAACTTTGTTATGAGTAGAAATACAAAGTCGGTTAAATTAGCAAACTAGTAGCATTTTATCGACTGATTACGATGGTGAATATAGAAAAGCAATTAAATGCAGGGTTCAGGAAAAAAATAGGAAAATGTACTCTTCTTAAATGGAACACCCTGTATATTCTTAACTCTAACGTCCCTAAATCACCAACAGAACAAAAAATGTCATATGCAATTTTAAGCCCATAGTTGAAAATAACCGAATTATCAGCACATTTATCTTTTAGACTAAATGGCTATGAGTGGTTCCGAAATAAAACTCCATTTTCCTTTTATTGTTTTATTTGAGCTTAAACATAATAATAACACCAATCTCCACGTCTTCATGTATTATAAAATTTTTTCATCTCATTCTTTTAGCAAAGACGGTTCAAAGGAGCCAAATAGCAAACTATTGTCAAAAAATTGTTATCAATTATTTAATTTAATTTAACTGTATCACTTATTCAAAAATGGTTTCTACACATGAAGAAAAGTGCGACATGTTAGAATGCTATTCGGCATGCGTAAAATAAATATAAATAAAATTATTTGCACCATGTTCTACAACATTTACAGATTTTTCTGCGCTTTAATCGAATCTTCAGATATAATGAAGCTGTTTTTGCCAAAAGAAGGAGATAAAAAAAAAGTTCTTGGATATTTTGAACTGTATCGTGACAATTCTATTCAAGATATAGTTAAAATACAAATTTTGCCTTATAAATTACGACCAGCTCAGGTGCTTTTTGCAGGAGACGCAGAGGACTTTTTTTGTCATTGGTATGTTAATGTTGCCAAAACACAATTTTTGGTATATTTTGTGACTTGACGAACATAATTTTTCAAATTGTATTATATTCCAGAAGATCATAATTATTGGTCAAGAGAAAATTTATTGGTAGTACATCCGCGGAATCCACAAGTATATATATATATATATATATATATATATATATATATATATATATATATATATATATATATATATATATATATATATATATATATATATATATATATATATATATATATATATATAAATATATAAATCACATACAATATTCGCCTAAAATTGAAAATAACCCAATTATCAGCACATTTCTCGTTTCGACTATGAGTGGTTGTCAAATAAAACTCCATTTTCTCTTTATTGTTTTATTTGAGCCTAATAAACATGAAAATAAGTAAATAGAAAAATAAACTAAAAAACCTAATTAATTTATGATTAGCTCTTAATGTTATTAACAACGTCACCTCGTACTTCAATGCATTTTTGAACAAGTTTTTCTATTGAGCGAATTGCCTTTAGTATCGTTCTACCACCTATATGGTTTATTTTTTTCTCTTATTGCAGCCTTAAAAACACCAACGTGTTGGTATTTTTCCTCATAACATTCGTCCTTTAAATAACCACACAAGTATAAATCAAGTGGGGTTATATCTGGTGACCTAGTAGGCCCAGGAATTGGTCCATTTGTATTTATCCATTTAGTGTGAAAATGGTTGTCAAAGATTGATATGTGCCTACTTTTGAGGTCAACCTTAACAACCATCTAGAATATCAGTAATAATTGCAATGCAAATATGGACCAACAATGCGAGAACCAATTATACCGCACCTAACGTTAAAGCTGAAAAGAACTTGTGGATTCCGCGGATGTACTACCAATAAATTTTCTCTTGACCAATAATTATGATCTTCTGGAATATAATACAATTTGAAAAATTATGTTCGTCAAGTCACAAAATATACTAAAAATTGTGTTTTGGCAACATTAACATACCAATGACAAAAAAAGTCCTCTGCGTCTCCTGCAAAAAGCACCTGAGCTGGTCGTAATTTATAAGGCAAAATTTGTATTTTTTTTAAATCCTTTCCACAGTACTAATTTAAAGTCTTTATGAATAGAATTGTCACGATACAGTTCAAAATATCCAAGAATTTTTTTTTATCTCCTTCTTTTGGCAAAAACAGCTTCATTATATCTGAAGATTCGATTAAAGCGCAGAAAAATTTGTAAATGTTGTGGAACATGGTGGAAATAGGTTTATTTATCGTTCTCTTGCCCTTATTTACCTGATGCCGAATAGCATTCTAACATGGAGCAATTTTCTTCATGTGTAGAAACCATTTTTGAATAAGTGATACAGTTAAATTAAATTAAATAATTGATAACAATTTTTTGACAATAGTTTGCTATTTGGCTCCTTTGAACAATTTTTCTGCGCCTTATCGAATCTTTAGAAATAATCAAACCGTCTTTGCTAAAAGAATGAGACGAAAAAATTTTATAATACATGAAGACGTGGAGATTGGTGTTATTATTATGCTTAAGCTCAAATAAAACAATAAAAGGAAAATGGAGTTTTATTTTGCAACCACTCATAGCCATTTAGTCTAAAAGATAAATGTGCTGATAATTCGGTTACTTTCAACTATGGGCTTAAAATTGCATATGACACTTTTTGGTCTGTTGGTGATTTAAGGACGTTAGAGTTAAGAATATACAGGGTGTTCCACTTAAGAAGAGTACATTTTCCTATTTTTTTCCTGAACCCTGCATTCAATTGCTTTTCTATATTCGCCATCGTAATCAGTCGATAAAATGCTACTAGTTTGCTAATTTAACCCACTTTGTATTTCTACTCATAACAAAGTTGCCAAAGATCCATCTGTGTATATGGTCGTCATC